TGCTGGAGGAGAGCCTGCGGGACGGGGAACTCCCGCAGAGCTGCAGGAGGGCGGTGGTCACCCTGTTGCCTAAGAAGGGGGACCTGCGTCGCATAGAAAACTGGCGGACCGTCTCCCTCCTGTGTGCCGACTATAAAATATTCGCCAAGGCGCTGGCAAACCGCCTCAAAGAGGTGGTGGATCAGCTCGTGCAACCCGAGCAGGCGTATTGCATCCCCGGCCGCTGCATCTATGACAACATCGGCACGGTCAGGGATGTGATCTCCCTCGCGGATATGCACGACGTGGATGCGGGTCTCCTATTCATGGACCAGGAGAAGGCGTTCGACAGGGTGAGCCACGAGTACCTGAGAAGACTGCTCCTCTCCTTCGGGTTCGGCCAGAACTTCACGGCACACGTGCACCTCCTATATACGGGCATATCCAGCCTCATAAAAATCAATCAAAGGCTTGGCTGCCCTGTTCCCGTGACAAGAGGAGTCAGGCAAAGGTGCCCTCTCTCGGGGCTCCTCTACACCCTGTCCCTTGAGCCGCTCTTGCGACGCCTGAGAAACACCTTGTCCGGGTTCAGGGTCCCGGGGCCGGAGAACGCAGTCATAAAGCTCTCCGCATATGCGGACGACGTATGCGCCGTGATCAACGACGCGCAGGACGTCGCTGCACTCTGCCGGGCGGTGGAGGTCTATGAAAAGGCCTCCTGCGCCAAAGTCAACTGGCGGAAGTGTGAGGCGTTATGGATGGGGTCACAAGGTGCAGTGAGTTCCGTGCTCCTCCCAGGCGGAGTCACCTGGCAGGGTGAGGGCGTGAAGTATCTCGGAGTGTACCTAGGGAAGCCCCAAGTCGTTCACAAAAACTGGACCGAGATGAGCGACGTATTTGATGCTAAACTGAGAGCGTGGGCACATCTCGCCCCACAAATGTCCTTCAGGGGGAGAGTGCTCATAGGGAATAACCTGGCAGCCTCGGTGCTGTGGCACAGAGCCAAGGCCCTCCAACCCCCGGGCTGGTTATTCACGAGGGCGAACAGGTCGCTTGCCCACTTTGTCTGGAACGGCAAGCACTGGATGAGGCCAGGGGTCCTCTGCCTGCCGGTGGGTGAGGGCGGCCAGGGCCTGGTAGACGTCACCGCTCGAGTGATGAGCTTCAGGCTCCAGGCCGTGAGAAACTTGCTATATGAACAAGAGGAGCTGCCCCGGACGTCGCTGGCCCTCGCCCTGCTGAGAAATGCGGGCGGGCGGCTGGGATATGGGAGGGAGCTCTTCCTTATGGACCTGTCCCTAGTCGATTGCACCGGACTGCCGGGCTATTACCAGAGCCTGTTGGAGGCGTGGCGGAGCCTGGAATGGAGCAGGGCGAGCCCGCTTTCCAGGAGTTGCGCGTCTCCTGCATCCAGCCCCCCGGGCGCTGTGAGGCAGGGAGGTTGCTCAAGCTCGCGAACTGCAGAGACGTGGCCCTCAAGGGTGCCTCCAAGCGGGTGCTGTACGACTGCTGCGTCAAACCACTGCGGTGTCGAGAGCTGGAAAACCTACCGGACACGAAGTGGAGGGAGTTCTTCTCTCCCTTGATCGACACCACCCCCCAGTAGAAACAGCTCTACAAGGCCCCCGTTGCAAAGCGCAGCGGGGACCTCCAGTGGAGGCTGGCGCATTGGACGCTGCCCTCGGCGGCGTGGATCAGCAAGGTCACCCCGGGGGCATCAGACCTGTGCGTGTTCTGTGGCGCGAGGGAGGACCTCGCCCACCAGTACGTGGGGTGCTCGCGGCTGGACCCGCTGTTCAGACTCCTGGGAGCCGTGTTTAAGAAATTGGGGGTGCCCTTCTACAAGAGCGTTTTTATATGCGGGGTACCGTACCGGGCGGACAAGCGCCACATCCTGGCAAACTTTGTCTGCGCGCACGCCAATATGGCAGTATATAAAACGCGAAAAAAGAAACAGCGAGGTGACACGGACGATAGTTGTTCAGCGGAGGCAACGCTGAAAGGTCTGCTGAAAGCGAGGCTCCGGCTGGAGCACGCGTACTTTTCCCAGGTTGGAGATGCGCACGCCGTGTTCCAGGAGCGGTGGGGGGCCGGTCAGGCCCTCTGCACCAACACGAATGGTGAACTGACCTTCACTTTTTAATGATCGAGTCGAAACGGGCGTTAGACGCGGCGACGCGGGCAGGACGTATGCGGCGGTGCAGCGCGCGTGGTGGAGCGGAGCGCGTGACAGTCCGGCCGTGCGGCGCACGCGCCTGGCAGTGCGGCACATGTGCTGAGGTGTGGCGCACGCGGCGGTCTGAATAATGTGGTGTGTGCGCGGCGGTGTGGCGCGCTTGGCGGTGCGGGACACGCGCCGCGGTGTGTCACGCGGAGTGAGGCGGCGTGACGCACGTGGCATGGTGTAGCGCGCGCGGTGGTGCGGCACTCACTCAGCGGTGTGACGCACTTGGCGGCGCGGCACATGTGCTGAGGTGTGGCGCACGCGGCGGACCGAAAATGTGCGCACGTGCGCGGCGGTGGGTCGCACCAGGTGGTGCGGCGCACGTGCCGTGGTGTGACGTGCGCGTCGCAGCATGGTGCATGCGGTGGTGTGACACACGTGTCGCGGAAATCTCGCGGGGTGGTGGTGCGTGCGCAGCGGTGTGCACACGTGACGTAGATGAATGTGCACGTGGCGGTGTGGCTCGCGCGGTGGCGTGGCGCACGGGCTGCGTTATCTAGCGGTGGTGATGTTACCGATGACTGTGACCTCGAACCATCAGGGGAGGAAGTGTGGAATAAGCGGGGGGGCCCTGCCAAGCAAAGAGGTGCCAAAGCTCGAAATGACACAGCGCGTCGGATGCTGTTGCGCGGCCGGTGCGTGGGGATTGTGGTGCCGGCGTTGCGCGTCGCGGGGCGGCGGTGGGATGGTGAGCTGTGCTTTTTGGTGTGGCCATTAAGGCTTGAATATTGCAAAATTCCAGGGCAATTTGCCGCTGGTGAATAAACTTATATAAAAGTCTATCTTGTTGTCACCACCTGTCCCTTAGTTGATGCACTGTCTTTACATCACCCACCTCTATGACCTCTACCTGACCCCGCCATGGGCGGAGCAACTTGGGGGACATACCCGGTGGTACCTGTAGGCAATACAACCATGCCCTGTCCCCCACTGCCCATGGAAGCACGTCCTCCCGACGGCCCGAGTTCTTTTCATTAGCGGCTTGCGCTCTGGTGGGGAAAGGTCCTCGTTATGAATCGTTTCGCAACGTTCAGGTCCAGAATAGCGAAGTATACCGGGAATCACCTGCAGTTAAAAATATGTAAATTGATAACACTATAAACAATAACACTAAACATTAAACGACAAAAAAAGATAACAACTGGTTTTATAATTTATAGCACCATAAACGGAGGTACGGTATTTTAATTTCATTAGAAGTATTATAATGGAACTCTACACATGTTTGTTAATTGTCCGTTCAATCGAACCGACGGTCGGATATGTGAACTGTGGGGGGTCGAGGGTAAGAATGGCATTCAAATTTTAGAATGACAATTTGGTCGTTTTAGCAAATTACTGTACTTGAATGTATGTTATGTGCAAATGCAAATTGTTAGTCGTAAATGCGAGGGAGGGGTTAAGAGGTGCACGTTTAATCCAGTGTTAACATTTATTTTAGCATCATATTTAAGGACACTGTTGTTGATAAGAATTCGTCTGGACATGGCACGTGCCTTGTTCTACTCGATCAACCAAAATTAGTACAATTTCGGTCATGCAGAAGCGTGATTTCATTCATGAGTAGTATTCACACAGCCCCGATGACACCAACCTACCTAAAGTTATGGTTAAACAAAGTAATCTTGAGTGACTTTAATCTCAGCTCAGACATGATCATCGCAATCATTTCCAAAGACGTGTGGGGTCCTGCGAGAGCAGGTCCCCACTCGGAATCGGAAGTAGCTGCGTCGCCCTCGAAATGTGATGTTGCTGCTGTTGTTGTCGCTACTCTTGTTGCTGCTGTAGTTGCTTCTGTTGCTGTAATAAACGCAGGGAGGTGTTGTTCCGTGAAGGGATGACGCCTTTGATTAAAGCCTCTGATCAAACTCACCCGATTGACGCCCTTGGTCGTTGCGTTTGATCAACTCTGATATTGTATACTCTCACATGCTAAGCTCTAACATAGTGAAACGAAATATTATAACCTATGAACTACAACCTATCCATTGTAACGCTGTAAAAGAATATTACCTATTGGATTTCACTCCATCGTCGAGAAGGCCGCTCTCTTCCTTTTCTAAAGTTACATGCTAATTTCTCTGCATTCACTTTAAATCGAGGACAAAGTTTTTCCATTCATTCAAAATAAGCGCACAATTACACACTGAGATGCACTTACATATTCATGCATGAAGCACAATTGGCACATTACCCTTCGGTATGTTAAAAGACATGCGGATTGTGCCTTCAAAAATTAACAATCGAATGCAAATATCCTGAAAGACAAAGGATTGGATCCTAGGGGGGGAGTTATAAGGCGGCTCAGAAGCAGAGCTCAATGCCATTTCGAGAGGGAACTTGATGAGGTTGGATGCTCGACTCGTCGCTCTGCTGATCGCCCTTCAATCGCGAGACAACGCAGCCTGGCGAGCACAATTGCTGTGTCGACACTTAGGCGACTTTGCGTCGGGAGAGTTCGTGGCGACATCTTCAGACGGGTTCCAGACGTCGATCTACCGTGAATCTCCAAGTAAGTGTCTATTTTCGCGGATAAACTGTTAAACGTGTTCGTCGTCAAATTAGCGGTATTTTTTTGCGTCTCGGTTAGACGTGAGTGTCGTTCTTGTTTTAGCAGTTAACAAAATCCAAAACTCCTTTCGGCCGATCGCGTACTTTTGGCTCAATAACACCGCTGCTGTTACTACGCTCACATGGAGCAGAGACGCTCTCCACAGCCCCACGCACACGGAGGCAAGAAGCCATTCAATTGCTCTGTGTGTGAGAAGTCCTTTTCACGGCCATCACATCTTAAGAGACACCAGAGAACACACACGGGCGAGAAGCCGTTCCTGTGCTCTGTGTGCGGGAAGACATTTGCACACTCATCACATCTTCAGAGTCACCAGAGAACACACACGGGCGAGAAGCCGTTCCTGTGCTCTGTGTGCGGGAAGACATTTGCACACTCATCACATCTTCAGAGTCATCGGAGAACACACACTGGTGAGAAGCCATTCCGGTGCCATGTGTGTGGGACGACATTTGCACAATCGTCAACTCTTCAAGACCATCAGAAAACACACACAGGCGAGAAGCCATTCCTGTGCCCTGTGTGTGGGAAGGCATTTGCACAGTCATCAACTCTTCAAACTCATCAAAGAACACACACGGGCGAGAAGCCATTCCTGTGCCCTGTGTGTGAGAAGTCCTTTTCACGGCCATCACATCTTAAGAGACACCAGAGAACACACACGGGCGAGAAGCCGTTCCTGTGCTCTGTGTGCGGGAAGACATTTGCACACTCATCACATCTTCAGAGTCACCAGAGAACACACACGGGCGAGAAGCCGTTCCTGTGCTCTGTGTGCGGGAAGACATTTGCACACTCATCACATCTTCAGAGTCATCGGAGAACACACACTGGTGAGAAGCCATTCCGGTGCCATGTGTGTGGGACGACATTTGCACAATCGTCAACTCTTCAAGACCATCAGAAAACACACACAGGCGAGAAGCCATTCCTGTGCCCTGTGTGTGGGAAGGCATTTGCACAGTCATCAACTCTTCAAACTCATCAAAGAACACACACGGGGGAGAAGCCATTCCTGTGCCCTGTGTGTGGGAAGACATTTTCCAAGTCATCAAATCTTCATAGTCATCAGAGAACACACACGGGCGAGAAGCCATTCCTGTGCCCTGTGTGTGGGAAGACATTTGCAGACTCATCAACCAGGAACAGGCATCAGAAGGTCCACAATGATAGGAAACTGAAATCAAAAGCTGAAATTCAAGGTGCTGCAATGAGTTCTAAAGAAGTTTCCACCTTCGATCCCATGCAGTTGGATCCCGATAGATGGCTGGATGTAATGGAGTGGCTCGAGAGTCAACCAGAGAGCTCGGGGTGACTGAACAAATATTACGTCATGTGGTTATACCTTTTAAGCCGTATCGAGTACTTTTGTGTGTTATTTTGAACATTTTAGTTTTATAGTTTTTTTGAGAGTTTAATGACGTGCCCAGTGGTGGTTTGTAATGTTATCGGGTTACTTGCCGAAATGGTGTGATGAGCACTGGTTGTGAGAGGGTTCAATTGTAGTCGTTAAGTGTCCCTGTTGAGCTAAAGTTGGAATGCGTCTGTAGGTACATCTTTACTCAACATTTTAAACGATTTTTGTCAAGTATATAGCTTTTTTTGATTGGTATTAATTGACTTTAGATAGTCGATATCAGGATGTACATTGATAACGCGATCGTTGGATATATGGCCTTGACTTCAACATGGACTCGCAGTGAAATGTGGTAAATTAATAAGGAAATCAATGATACTTTAACGTTTTGGTATTCCTGTAACGGAAATGGTTTGCATGGTACTGGAAATGTGTGAACATTTTGACGTAAAAATGATTGCAGATGAATAAAAACGTATTTTTAACAAATGTTTGTCCGGTCTTTAATTTATAATGTTCCTATGTTAAGATAATTTCAGGTGGAGGACCTCCGTCACACAAGTGTGCCCTTAACCCGCAGCATCTTGGCTGTCTACCCGATTAACACGTGTTCCTTGAGGGGAAAGGTCCCCGTAGTTAATCGTTCATCAACGTACCAGTCCCTAATCCCGAAGTATGTCCGGGATAAACTGTACTCTATAACATGTAAACTGTAATACTATAAACTATAACACTGAACATTAAACGATTATAAACTAGTGTTTTAATTTATAACCATTTAAACGGAGGTAAGGTATTATAATATCATTAGAAGTGTGGGGGCCGTTGGCCCCCGGGGTCCCTCCCGCCTGCATCCCCTATTCAGTTTACGTTACCCCACCTCCCTATTACCCGCTACGGTTTCGCTGGTATTTGAACGTGACGCCCCTACTGTTACAGCCTCGCGCCGCGCTCCCACGCTGCGAGCATACGTGCGCACAGCATCATCAATCAAACGCCATACTCCCCCTCTTTACACCGCTACGTACAGCTCTCGCACGCTGCGAGTGTGTGCCCGTCTATAGCCCTGTGCGGCACTCGCCTCCACGTCGAATAACCACGTACCAATGCGCATTCGTATCCGACACGTAACGAATGTATGCGCACTCACGTAACAGCTCCCCGCGGCACTCACTCACCACTGGGTACTCGCGTTATGATCGCGCACCTGTATCACACAAAACGACTGATTGTCCGCTTAACAGCCTCGCCTGTAAACCACCATTGGTGATAGTGTTGTTTGAGAGCAGCTATTAAAGTCGTTTTGGCAAACGAGGTGGTGGCTGACCAAACCATGCCTCGCTGTTTGTCTCCCGAGTGATGACGGATACAAACCAGACCAAGTGGAGACCACGTACCAGATCGGATTTTAGTTACTGATGTTAGAGTGATTGTATTGCAAGTGTGGTCACTACGCGTCTGTACGTGCTCACACACGAAGCTCGGCGATTTTTGGCAACGCCACGGGGCTGCATTCACTTTAAATCGAGGACAATGGAGGGCATGGGGAACGTGTTTTTCCATTTATTCAGAATAAGTGCATAATGACACACTGAGATGCACTTACATATTCATGCTTGAAGCACAATGGGCACATTACCCATCAGTATGTTATATATATATATGCGGATTGTGCCTTCCAAAATTAACAATCGAATGCAAATATCCTGAAAGACAAAGGATTGGATCCTAGGGGGGGAGTTATAAGGCGGCTCAGAAGCAGAGCTCAATGCCATTTCGAGAGGGAACTTGATGAGGTTGGACGCTCGACTCGTCGCTCTGCTGATCGCCCTTCAACCGCGAGACAACGCAGCCTGGCGAGCACAATTGCTGCGTCGACAGTTAGGCGACTTTGCGTCGGGAGAGTTCGTGGCGACATCTTCAAACGGGTTCCAGACATCGATATACCGTGAATCTCCAAGTAAGTGTCTATTTTCGCGGATAAAATCTTAAACGTGTTCGTCGTCAAATTTACGGGATTTTTTTGCGTCTCGCTTGAACGCGAGTGTCGTTCTTGTTTTAGCCGTTAACAAAATCTAAAACTCAACGCTAAACATCCTTGCGGCCGATAGCGTACTTTTGACTCGATAACACCGCTGCTGTTACTCCGCTCACATGGAGCAGAGACGCTCTCCACAGCCCCACGCACACGGGGGCAAGAAGCCATTCAATTGCTCTGTGTGTGGGAAGTCCTTTTCATGGCCATCACATCTTCAGAGACACCAGAGAACACACACGGGCGAGAAGCCGTTCCTGTGCTCTGTGTGCGGGAAGACATTTGCACACTCATCACATCTTCAGAGTCACCAGAGAACACACACGGGCGAGAAGCCGTTCCTGTGCTCTGTGTGCGGGAAGACATTTGCACACTCATCACATCTTCAGAGTCACCAGAGAACACACAAGGGCGAGAAGCCGTTCCTGTGCTCTGTGTGCGGGAAGACATTTGCACACTCATCACATCTTCAGAGTCACCAGAGAACACACACGGGCGAGAAGCCGTTCCTGTGTTCTGTGTGTGGGAAGACATTTGCACAGTCATCACATCTTCAGAGTCATCAGAGAACACACACGGGCGAGAAGCCATTCGTGTGCCCTGTGTGTGGGAAGAAATATTCAAAGTCATCAAATCTTCATAGTCATCAGAGAACACACACGGGCGAGAAGCCATTTCTGTGCCCTGTGTGTGGGAAGACATTTGCACAGTCATCAACTCTTCAAACTCATCAAAGAACACACACGGGGGAGAAGCCATTCCTGTGCCCTGTGTGTGGGAAGACATTTTCCAAGTCATCAAATCTTCATAGTCATCAGAGAACACACACGGGCGAGAAGCCATTCCTGTGCCCTGTGTGTGGGAAGACATTTGCAGACTCATCAACCAGGAACAGGCATCAGAAGGTCCACAATGATAGGAAACTGAAATCAAAAGCTGAAATTCAAGGTGCTGCAATGAGTTCTAAAGAAGTTTCCACCTTCGATCCCATGCAGTTGGATCCCGATAGATGGCTGGATGTAATGGAGTGGCTCGAGAGTCAACCAGAGAGCTCGGGGTGACTGAACAAATATTACGTCATGTGGTTATACCTTTTAAGCCGTATCGAGTACTTTTGTGTGTTATTTTGAACATTTTAGTTTTATAGTTTTTTTGAGAGTTTAATGACGTGCCCAGTGGTGGTTTGTAATGTTATCGGGTTACTTGCCGAAATGGTGTGATGAGCACTGGTTGTGAGAGGGTTCAATTGTAGTCGTTAAGTGTCCCTGTTGAGCTAAAGTTGGAATGCGTCTGTAGGTACATCTTTACTCAACATTTTAAACGATTTTTGTCAAGTATATAGCTTTTTTTGATTGGTATTAATTGACTTTAGATAGTCGATATCAGGATGTACATTGATAACGCGATCGTTGGATATATGGCCTTGACTTCAACATGGACTCGCAGTGAAATGTGGTAAATTAATAAGGAAATCAATGATACTTTAACGTTTTGGTATTCCTGTAACGGAAATGGTTTGCATGGTACTGGAAATGTGTGAACATTTTGACGTAAAAATGATTGCAGATGAATAAAAACGTATTTTTAACAAATGTTTGTCCGGTCTTTAATTTATAATGTTCCTATGTTAAGATAATTTCAGGTGGAGGACCTCCGTCACACAAGTGTGCCCTTAACCCGCAGCATCTTGGCTGTCTACCCGATTAACACGTGTTCCTTGAGGGGAAAGGTCCCCGTAGTTAATCGTTCATCAACGTACCAGTCCCTAATCCCGAAGTATGTCCGGGATAAACTGTACTCTATAACATGTAAACTGTAATACTATAAACTATAACACTGAACATTAAACGATTATAAACTAGTGTTTTAATTTATAACCATTTAAACGGAGGTAAGGTATTATAATATCATTAGAAGTGTGGGGGCCGTTGGCCCCCGGGGTCCCTCCCGCCTGCATCCCCTATTCAGTTTACGTTACCCCACCTCCCTATTACCCGCTACGGTTTCGCTGGTATTTGAACGTGACGCCCCTACTGTTACAGCCTCGCGCCGCGCTCCCACGCTGCGAGCATACGTGCGCACAGCATCATCAATCAAACGCCATACTCCCCCTCTTTACACCGCTACGTACAGCTCTCGCACGCTGCGAGTGTGTGCCCGTCTATAGCCCTGTGCGGCACTCGCCTCCACGTCGAATAACCACGTACCAATGCGCATTCGTATCCGACACGTAACGAATGTATGCGCACTCACGTAACAGCTCCCCGCGGCACTCACTCACCACTGGGTACTCGCGTTATGATCGCGCACCTGTATCACACAAAACGACTGATTGTCCGCTTAACAGCCTCGCCTGTAAACCACCATTGGTGATAGTGTTGTTTGAGAGCAGCTATTAAAGTCGTTTTGGCAAACGAGGTGGTGGCTGACCAAACCATGCCTCGCTGTTTGTCTCCCGAGTGATGACGGATACAAACCAGACCAAGTGGAGACCACGTACCAGATCGGATTTTAGTTACTGATGTTAGAGTGATTGTATTGCAAGTGTGGTCACTACGCGTCTGTACGTGCTCACACACGAAGCTCGGCGATTTTTGGCAACGCCACGGGGCTGCATTCACTTTAAATCGAGGACAATGGAGGGCATGGGGAACGTGTTTTTCCATTTATTCAGAATAAGTGCATAATGACACACTGAGATGCACTTACATATTCATGCTTGAAGCACAATGGGCACATTACCCATCAGTATGTTAATATATATATATGCGGATTGTGCCTTCCAAAATTAACAATCGAATGCAAATATCCTGAAAGACAAAGGATTGGATCCTAGGGGGGGAGTTATAAGGCGGCTCAGAAGCAGAGCTCAATGCCATTTCGAGAGGGAACTTGATGAGGTTGGACGCTCGACTCGTCGCTCTGCTGATCGCCCTTCAACCGCGAGACAACGCAGCCTGGCGAGCACAATTGCTGCGTCGACAGTTAGGCGACTTTGCGTCGGGAGAGTTCGTGGCGACATCTTCAAACGGGTTCCAGACATCGATATACCGTGAATCTCCAAGTAAGTGTCTATTTTCGCGGATAAAATCTTAAACGTGTTCGTCGTCAAATTTACGGGATTTTTTTGCGTCTCGCTTGAACGCGAGTGTCGTTCTTGTTTTAGCCGTTAACAAAATCTAAAACTCAACGCTAAACATCCTTGCGGCCGATAGCGTACTTTTGACTCGATAACACCGCTGCTGTTACTCCGCTCACATGGAGCAGAGACGCTCTCCACAGCCCCACGCACACGGGGGCAAGAAGCCATTCAATTGCTCTGTGTGTGGGAAGTCCTTTTCATGGCCATCACATCTTCAGAGACACCAGAGAACACACACGGGCGAGAAGCCGTTCCTGTGCTCTGTGTGCGGGAAGACATTTGCACACTCATCACATCTTCAGAGTCACCAGAGAACACACACGGGCGAGAAGCCGTTCCTGTGCTCTGTGTGCGGGAAGACATTTGCACACTCATCACATCTTCAGAGTCACCAGAGAACACACAAGGGCGAGAAGCCGTTCCTGTGCTCTGTGTGCGGGAAGACATTTGCACACTCATCACATCTTCAGAGTCACCAGAGAACACACACGGGCGAGAAGCCGTTCCTGTGTTCTGTGTGTGGGAAGACATTTGCACAGTCATCACATCTTCAGAGTCATCAGAGAACACACACGGGCGAGAAGCCATTCGTGTGCCCTGTGTGTGGGAAGAAATATTCAAAGTCATCAAATCTTCATAGTCATCAGAGAACACACACGGGCGAGAAGCCATTTCTGTGCCCTGTGTGTGGGAAGACATTTGCAGACTCATCAACCAGGAACAGGCATCAGAAGGTCCACAATGATAGGAAACTGAAATCAAAAGCTGAAATGCAAGGTGCTGCAATGAGTTCTAAAGAAGTTTCCACCTTCGATCCCATGCAGTTGGATCCCGATAGATGGCTGGATGTAATGGAGTGGCTCGAGAGTCAACCAGAGAGCTCGGGGTGACTGAAAAAATATTACGTCATGTGGTTATACCTTTTAAGCCGTATCGAGTACTTTTGTGTGTTATTTTGAACATTTTAGTTTTATAGTTTTTTTGAGAGTTTAATGACGTGCCCAGTGGTGGTTTGTAATGTTATCGGGTTACTTGCCGAAATGGTGTGATGAGCACTGGTTGTGAGAGGGTTCAATTGTAGTCGTTAAGTGTCCCTGTTGAGCTAAAGTTGGAATGCGTCTGTAGGTACATCTTTACTCAACATTTTAAACGATTTTTGTCAAGTATATAGCTTTTTTTGATTGGTATTAATTGACTTTAGATAGTCGATATCAGGATGTACATTGATAACGCGATCGTTGGATATATGGCCTTGACTTCAACATGGACTCGCAGTGAAATGTGGTAAATTAATAAGGAAATCAATGATACTTTAACGTTTTGGTATTCCTGGAACGGAAATGGTTTGCATGGTACTGGAAATGTGTGAACATTTTGACGTAAAAATGATTGCAGATGAATAAAAACGTATTTTTAACAAATGTGTGTCCGGTCTTTAATTTATAATGTTTCTATGTTAAGATAATTTCAGGTGGAGGACCTCCGTCACACAAGTGTGCCCTTAACCCGCAGCATCTTGGCTGTCTACCCGATTAACACGTGTTCCTTGAGGGGAAAGGTCCCCGTAGTTAATCGTTCATCAACGTACCAGTCCCTAATCCCGAAGTATGTCCGGGATAAACTGTACTCTATAACATGTAAACTGTAATACTATAAACTATAACACTGAACATTAAACGATTATAAACTAGTGTTTTAATTTATAACCATTTAAACGGAGGTAAGGTATTATAATATCATTAGAAGTGTGGGGGCCGTTGGCCCCCGGGGTCCCTCCCGCCTGCACGTTACCCCACCTCCCTATTACCCGCTACGGTTTCGCTGGTATTTGAACGTGACGCCCCTACTGTTACAGCCTCGCGCCGCGCTCCCACGCTGCGAGCATACGTGCGCACAGCATCATCAATCAAACGCCATACTCCCCCTCTTTACACCGCTACGTACAGCTCTCGCACGCTGCGAGTGTGTGCCCGTCTATAGCCCTGTGCGGCACTCGCCTCCACGTCGAATAACCACGTACCAATGCGCATTCGTATCCGACACGTAACGAATGTATGCGCACTCACGTAACAGCTCCCCGCGGCACTCACTCACCACTGGGTACTCGCGTTATGATCGCGCACCTGTATCACACAAAACGACTGATTGTCCGCTTAACAGCCTCGCCTGTAAACCACCATTGGTGATAGTGTTGTTTGAGAGCAGCTATTAAAGTCGTTTTGGCAAACGAGGTGGTGGCTGACCAAACCATGCCTCGCTGTTTGTCTCCCGAGTGATGACGGATACAAACCAGACCAAGTGGAGACCACGTACCAGATCGGATTTTAGTTACTGATGTTAGAGTGATTGTATTGCAAGTGTGGTCACTACGCGTCTGTACGTGCTCACACACGAAGCTCGGCGATTTTTGGCAACGCCACGGGGCTGCATTCACTTTAAATCGAGGACAATGGAGGGCATGGGGAACGTGTTTTTCCATTTATTCAGAATAAGTGCATAATGACACACTGAGATGCACTTACATATTCATGCTTGAAGCACAATGGGCACATTACCCATCAGTATGTTAATATATATATATGCGGATTGTGCCTTCCAAAATTAACAATCGAATGCAAATATCCTGAAAGACAAAGGATTGGATCCTAGGGGGGGAGTTATAAGGCGGCTCAGAAGCAGAGCTCAATGCCATTTCGAGAGGGAACTTGATGAGGTTGGACGCTCGACTCGTCGCTCTGCTGATCGCCCTTCAACCGCGAGACAACGCAGCCTGGCGAGCACAATTGCTGCGTCGACAGTTAGGCGACTTTGCGTCGGGAGAGTTCGTGGCGACATCTTCAAACGGGTTCCAGACATCGATATACCGTGAATCTCCAAGTAAGTGTCTATTTTCGCGGATAAAATCTTAAACGTGTTCGTCGTCAAATTTACGGGATTTTTTTGCGTCTCGCTTGAACGCGAGTGTCGTTCTTGTTTTAGCCGTTAACAAAATCTAAAACTCAACGCTAAACATCCTTGCGGCCGATAGCGTACTTTTGACTCGATAACACCGCTGCTGTTACTCCGCTCACATGGAGCAGAGACGCTCTCCACAGCCCCACGCACACGGGGGCAAGAAGCCATTCAATTGCTCTGTGTGTGGGAAGTCCTTTTCATGGCCATCACATCTTCAGAGACACCAGAGAACACACACGGGCGAGAAGCCGTTCCTGTGCTCTGTGTGCGGGAAGACATTTGCACACTCATCACATCTTCAGAGTCACCAGAGAACACACACGGGCGAGAAGCCGTTCCTGTGCTCTGTGTGCGGGAAGACATTTGCACACTCATCACATCTTCAGAGTCACCAGAGAACACACAAGGGCGAGAAGCCGTTCCTGTGCTCTGTGTGCGGGAAGACATTTGCACAGTCATCACATCTTCAGAGTCATCAGAGAACACACACGGGCGAGAAGCCATTCGTGTGCCCTGTGTGTGGGAAGACATTTTCAAAGTCATCAAATCTTCATAGTCATCAGAGAACACACACGGGCGAGAAGCCATTTCTGTGCCCTGTGTGTGGGAAGACATTTGCAGACTCATCAACCAGGAACAGGCATCAGAAGGTCCACAATGATAGGAAACTGAAATCAAAAGCTGAAATTCAAGGTGCTGCAATGAGTTCTAAAGAAGTTTCCACCTTCGATCCCATGCAGTTGGATCCCGATAGATGGCTGGATGTAATGGAGTGGCTCGAGAGTCAACCAGAGAGCTCGGGGTGACTGAAAAAATATTACGTCATGTGGTTATACCTTTTAAGCCGTATCGAGTACTTTTGTGTGTTATTTTGAACATTTTAGTTTTATAGTTTTTTTGAGAGTTTAATGACGTGCCCAGTGGTGGTTTGTAATGTTATCGGGTTACTTGCCGAAATGGTGTGATGAGCACTGGTTGTGAGAGGGTTCAATTGTAGTCGTTAAGTGTCCCTGTTGAGCTAAAGTTGGAATGCGTCTGTAGGTACATCTTTACTCAACATTTTAAACGATTTTTGTCAAGTATATAGCTTTTTTTGATTGGTATTAATTGACTTTAGATAGTCGATATCAGGATGTACATTGATAACGCGATCGTTGGATATATGGCCTTGACTTCAACATGGACTCGCAGTGAAATGTGGTAAATTAATAAGGAAATCAATGATACTTTAACGTTTTGGTATTCCTGGAACGGAAATGGTTTGCATGGTACTGGAAATGTGTGAACATTTTGACGTAAAAATGATTGCAGATGAATAAAAACGTATTTTTAACAAATGTTTGTCCGGTCTTTAATTTATAATGTTCCTATGTTAAGATAATTTCAGGTGGAGGACCTCCGTCACACAAGTGTGCCCTTAACCCGCAGCATCTTGGCTGTCTACCCGATTAACACGTGTTCCTTGAGGGGAAAGGTCCCCGTAGTTAATCGTTCATCAACGTACCAGTCCCTAATCCCGAAGTATGTCCGGGATAAACTGTACTCTATAACATGTAAACTGTAATACTATAAACTATAACACTGAACATTAAACGATTATAAACTAGTGTTTTAATTTATAACCATTTAAACGGAGGTAAGGTATTATAATATCATTAGAAGTGTGGGGGCCGTTGGCCCCCGGGGTCCCTCCCGCCTGCATCCCCTATTCCGTTTACGTTACCCCACCTCCCTATTACCCGCTACGGTTTCGCTGGTATTTGAACGTGACGCCCCTACTGTTACAGCCTCGCGCCGCGCTCCCACGCTGCGAGCATACGTGCGCACAGCATCATCAATCAAACGCCATACTCCCCCTCTTTACACCGCTACGTACAGCTCTCGCACGCTGCGAGTGTGTGCCCGTCTATAGCCCTGTGCGGCACTCGCCTCCACGTCGAATAACCACGTACCAATGCGCATTCGTATCCGACACGTAACGAATGTATGCGCACTCACGTAACAGCTCCCCGCGGCACTCACTCACCACTGGGTACTCGCGTTATGATCGCGCACCTGTATCACACAAAACGACTGATTGTCCGCTTAACAGCCTCGCCTGTAAACCACCATTGGTGATAGTGTTGTTTGAGAGCAGCTATTAAAGTCGTTTTGGCAAACGAGGTGGTGGCTGACCAAACCATGCCTCGCTGTTTGTCTCCCGAGTGATGACGGATACAAACCAGACCAAGTGGAGACCACGTACCAGATCGGATTTTAGTTACTGATGTTAGAGTGATTGTATTGCAAGTGTGGTCACTACGCGTCTGTACGTGCTCACACACGAAGCTCGGCGATTTTTGGCAACGCCACGGGGCTGCATTCACTTTAAATCGAGGACAATGGAGGGCATGGGGAACGTGTTTTTCCATTTATTCAGAATAAGTGCATAATGACACACTGAGATGCACTTACATATTCATGCTTGAAGCACAATGGGCACATTACCCATCAGTATGTTAATATATATATATGCGGATTGTGCCTTCCAAAATTAACAATCGAATGCAAATATCCTGAAAGACAAAGGATTGGATCCTAGGGGGGGAGTTATAAGGCGGCTCAGAAGCAGAGCTCAATGCCATTTCGAGAGGGAACTTGATGAGGTTGGACGCTCGACTCGTCGCTCTGCTGATCGCCCTTCAACCGCGAGACAACGCAGCCTGGCGAGCACAATTGCTGCGTCGACAGTTAGGCGACTTTGCGTCGGGAGAGTTCGTGGCGACATCTTCAAACGGGTTCCAGACATCGATATACCGTGAATCTCCAAGTAAGTGTCTATTTTCGCGGATAAAATCTTAAACGTGTTCGTCGTCAAATTTACGGGATTTTTTTGCGTCTCGCTTGAACGCGAGTGTCGTTCTTGTTTTAGCCGTTAACAAAATCTAAAACTCAACGCTAAACATCCTTGCGGCCGATAGCGTACTTTTGACTCGATAACACCGCTGCTGTTACTCCGCTCACATGGAGCAGAGACGCTCTCCACAGCCCCACGCACACGGGGGCAAGAAGCCATTCAATTGCTCTGTGTGTGGGAAGTCCTTTTCATGGCCATCACATCTTCAGAGACACCAGAGAACACACACGGGCGAGAAGCCGTTCCTGTGCTCTGTGTGCGGGAAGACATTTGCACACTCATCACATCTTCAGAGTCACCAGAGAACACACACGGGCGAGAAGCCGTTCCTGTGCTCTGTGTGCGGGAAGACATTTGCACACTCATCACATCTTCAGAGTCACCAGAGAACACACAAGGGCGAGAAGCCGTTCCTGTGCTCTGTGTGCGGGAAGACATTTGCACACTCATCACATCTTCAGAGTCACCAGAGAACACACACGGGCGAGAAGCCGTTCCTGTGTTCTGTGTGTGGGAAGACATTTGCACAGTCATCACATCTTCAGAGTCATCAGAGAACACACACGGGCGAGAAGCCATTCGTGTGCCCTGTGTGTGGGAAGACATTTTCAAAGTCATCAAATCTTCATAGTCATCAGAGAACACACACGGGCGAGAAGCCATTTCTGTGCCCTGTGTGTGGGAAGACATTTGCAGACTCATCAACCAGGAACAGGCATCAGAAGGTCCACAATGATAGGAAACTGAAATCAAAAGCTGAAATTCAAGGTGCTGCAATGAGTTCTAAAGAAGTTTCCACCTTCGATCCCATGCAGTTGGATCCCGATAGATGGCTGGATGTAATGGAGTGGCTCGAGAGTCAACCAGAGAGCTCGGAGTGACTGAAAAAATATTACGTCATGTGGTTATACCTTTTAAGCCGTATCGAGTACTTTTGTGTGTTATTTTGAACATTTTAGTTTTATAGTTTTTTTGAGAGTTTAATGACGTGCCCAGTGGTGGTTTGTAATGTTATCGGGTTACTTGCCGAAATGGTGTGATGAGCACTGGTTGTGAGAGGGTTCAATTGTAGTCGTTAAGTGTCCCTGTTGAGCTAAAGTTGGAATGCGTCTGTAGGTACATCTTTACTCAACATTTTAAACGATTTTTGTCAAGTATATAGCTTTTTTTGATTGGTATTAATTGACTTTAGATAGTCGATATCAGGATGTACATTGATAACGCGATCGTTGGATATATGGCCTTGACTTCAACATGGACTCGCAGTGAAATGTGGTAAATTAATAAGGAAATCAATGATACTTTAACGTTTTGGTATTCCTGGAACGGAAATGGTTTGCATGGTACTGGAAATGTGTGAACATTTTGACGTAAAAATGATTGCAGATGAATAAAAACGTATTTTTAACAAATGTTTGTCCGGTCTTTAATTTATAATGTTTCTATGTTAAGATAATTTCAGGTGGAGGACCTCCGTCACACAAGTGTGCCCTTAACCCGCAGCATCTTGGCTGTCTACCCGATTAACACGTGTTCCTTGAGGGGAAAGGTCCCCGTAGTTAATCGTTCATCAACGTACCAGTCCCTAATCCCGAAGTATGTCGGGGATAAACTGTACTCTATAACATGTAAACTGTAATACTATAAACTATAACACTGAACATTAAACGATTATAAACTAGTGTTTTAATTTATAACCATTTAAACGGAGGTAAGGTATTATAATATCATTAGAAGTGTGGGGGCCGTTGGCCCCCGGGGTCCCTCCCGCCTGCATCCCCTATTCCGTTTCCGTTACCCCACCTCCCTATTACCCGCTACGGTTTCGCTGGTATTTGAACGTGACGCCCCTACTGTTACAGCCTCGCGCCGCGCTCCCACGCTGCGAGCATACGTGCGCACAGCATCATCAATCAAACGCCATACTCCCCCTCTTTACACCGCTACGTACAGCTCTCGCACGCTGCGAGTGTGTGCCCGTCTATAGCCCTGTGCGGCACTCGCCTCCACGTCGAATAACCACGTACCAATGCGCATTCGTATCCGACACGTAACGAATGTATGCGCACTCACGTAACAGCTCCCCGCGGCACTCACTCACCACTGGGTACTCGCGTTATGATCGCGCACCTGTATCACACAAAACGACTGATTGTCCGCTTAACAGCCTCGCCTGTAAACCACCATTGGTGATAGTGTTGTTTGAGAGCAGCTATTAAAGTCGTTTTGGCAAACGAGGTGGTGGCTGACCAAACCATGCCTCGCTGTTTGTCTCCCGAGTGATGACGGATACAAACCAGACCAAGTGGAGACCACGTACCAGATCGGATTTTAGTTACTGATGTTAGAGTGATTGTATTGCAAGTGTGGTCACTACGCGTCTGTACGTGCTCACACACGAAGCTCGGCGATTTTTGGCAACGCCACGGGGCTGCATTCACTTTAAATCGAGGACAATGGAGGGCATGGGGAACGTGTTTTTCCATTTATTCAGAATAAGTGCATAATGACACACTGAGATGCACTTACATATTCATGCTTGAAGCACAATGGGCACATTACCCATCAGTATGTTAATATATATATATGCGGATTGTGCCTTCCAAAATTAACAATCGAATGCAAATATCCTGAAAGACAAAGGATTGGATCCTAGGGGGGGAGTTATAAGGCGGCTCAGAAGCAGAGCTCAATGCCATTTCGAGAGGGAACTTGATGAGGTTGGACGCTCGACTCGTCGCTCTGCTGATCGCCCTTCAACCGCGAGACAACGCAGCCTGGCGAGCACAATTGCTGCGTCGACAGTTAGGCGACTTTGCGTCGGGAGAGTTCGTGGCGACATCTTCAAACGGGTTCCAGACATCGATATACCGTGAATCTCCAAGTAAGTGTCTATTTTCGCGGATAAAATCTTAAACGTGTTCGTCGTCAAATTTACGGGATTTTTTTGCGTCTCGCTTGAACGCGAGTGTCGTTCTTGTTTTAGCCGTTAACAAAATCTAAAACTCAACGCTAAACATCCTTGCGGCCGATAGCGTACTTTTGACTCGATAACACCGCTGCTGTTACTCCGCTCACATGGAGCAGAGACGCTCTCCACAGCCCCACGCACACGGGGGCAAGAAGCCATTCAATTGCTCTGTGTGTGGGAAGTCCTTTTCATGGCCATCACATCTTCAGAGACACCAGAGAACACACACGGGCGAGAAGCCGTTCCTGTGCTCTGTGTGCGGGAAGACATTTGCACACTCATCACATCTTCAGAGTCACCAGAGAACACACACGGGCGAGAAGCCGTTCCTGTGCTCTGTGTGCGGGAAGACATTTGCACACTCATCACATCTTCAGAGTCACCAGAGAACACACAAGGGCGAGAAGCCGTTCCTGTGCTCTGTGTGCGGGAAGACATTTGCACACTCATCACATCTTCAGAGTCACCAGAGAACACACACGGGCGAGAAGCCGTTCCTGTGTTCTGTGTGTGGGAAGACATTTGCACAGTCATCACATCTTCAGAGTCATCAGAGAACACACACGGGCGAGAAGCCATTCGTGTGCCCTGTGTGTGGGAAGACATTTTCAAAGTCATCAAATCTTCATAGTCATCAGAGAACACACACGGGCGAGAAGCCATTTCTGTGCCCTGTGTGTGGGAAGACATTTGCAGACTCATCAACCAGGAACAGGCATCAGAAGGTCCACAATGATAGGAAACTGAAATCAAAAGCTGAAATTCAAGGTGCTGCAATGAGTTCTAAAGAAGTTTCCACCTTCGATCCCATGCAGTTGGATCCCGATAGATGGCTGGATGTAATGGAGTGGCTCGAGAGTCAACCAGAGAGCTCGGGGTGACTGAAAAAATATTACGTCATGTGGTTATACCTTTTAAGCCGTATCGAGTACTTTTGTGTGTTATTTTGAACATTTTAGTTTTATAGTTTTTTTGAGAGTTTATTGACGTGCCCAGTGGTGGTTTGTAATGTTATCGGGTTACTTGCCGAAATGGTGTGATGAGCACTGGTTGTGAGAGGGTTCAATTGTAGTCGTTAAGTGTCCCTGTTGAGCTAAAGTTGGAATGCGTCTGTAGGTACATCTTTACTCAACATTTTAAACGATTTTTGTCAAGTATATAGCTTTTTTTGATTGGTATTAATTGACTTTAGATAGTCGATATCAGGATGTACATTGATAACGCGATCGTTGGATATATGGCCTTGACTTCAACATGGACTCGCAGTGAAATGTGGTAAATTAATAAGGAAATCAATGATACTTTAACGTTTTGGTATTCCTGGAACGGAAATGGTTTGCATGGTACTGGAAATGTGTGAACATTTTGACATAAAAATGATTGCAGATGAATAAAAACGTATTTTTAACAAATGTTTGTCCGGTCTTTAATTTATAATGTTCCTATGTTAAGATAATTTCAGGTGGAGGACCTCCGTCACACAAGTGTGCCCTTAACCCGCAGCATCTTGGCTGTCTACCCGATTAACACGTGTTCCTTGAGGGGAAAGGTCCCCGTAGTTAATCGTTCATCAACGTACCAGTCCCTAATCCCGAAGTATGTCCGGGATAAACTGTACTCTATAACATGTAAACTGTAATACTATAAACTATAACACTGAACATTAAACGATTATAAACTAGTGTTTTAATTTATAACCATTTAAACGGAGGTAAGGTATTATAATATCATTAGAAGTGTGGGGGCCGTTGGCCCCCGGGGTCCCTCCCGCCTGCATCCCCTATTCCGTTTACGTTACCCCACCTCCCTATTACCCGCTACGGTTTCGCTGGTATTTGAACGTGACGCCCCTACTGTTACAGCCTCGCGCCGCGCTCCCACGCTGCGAGCATACGTGCGCACAGCATCATCAATCAAACGCCATACTCCCCCTCTTTACACCGCTACGTACAGCTCTCGCACGCTGCGAGTGTGTGCCCGTCTATAGCCCTGTGCGGCACTCGCCTCCACGTCGAATAACCACGTACCAATGCGCATTCGTATCCGACACGTAACGAATGTATGCGCACTCACGTAACAGCTCCCCGCGGCACTCACTCACCACTGGGTACTCGCGTTATGATCGCGCACCTGTATCACACAAAACGACTGATTGTCCGCTTAACAGCCTCGCCTGTAAACCACCATTGGTGATAGTGTTGTTTGAGAGCAGCTATTAAAGTCGTTTTGGCAAACGAGGTGGTGGCTGACCAAACCATGCCTCGCTGTTTGTCTCCCGAGTGATGACGGATACAAACCAGACCAAGTGGAGACCACGTACCAGATCGGATTTTAGTTACTGATGTTAGAGTGATTGTATTGCAAGTGTGGTCACTGTGGGGGTCGCTAGCCCCCGAGATCCCTCCCTCGATAATGCTAACGGCCGGGCTAGCATCATCAATCGCCCCCCCGCTGCTAAGCGAACCGCTGCTAAGTTCCTCACCCATGGTGTGGGAGCCGTCGCCCGAGGATTCCCCTCCACCGCGGGTCCGCGTAATGGGCATGGTTAATTACCGATTAGTATTCTTCCCCTCTCTACTACGATACTTCCCTTTCCTAATCGCGCGCCTGCAACCCACGCGGAGCGAACGCACGCACGCCCACACACACGCCGCTCCGCGCACTCCAACTCAACTCACGTTATACTCGCGCACCTGTATCACACACGGAGTGAACACACGCGACACCCACTCTCGCACCGCTCTGCGCAGCGCTCCCCCGAGGCGAGCCGCAGCACCACAGAATCACTGCGTACCCACGCGCAACCCGCGCGCTCAGCTCCGCGCAGCGCTCACTCACGTGGCGAACCACTGTGCACACAGCGCACCCACACGCTCACACTGCACGACAAGATCACGCGAGACCACGCTTCGCTATTAATGATTTATTATATGCTACCTGCGAATTGATGTTGAATCAGTGAGTCGACGAGGCTGGCCTATTCCACTAAACCTGTACCTATTCCCTATTTATCGGCTTACGATACCCTACTTCACCTCCCCACTCACTGTTTGGTGCCGGCGGAGGTTCGCTGCTCTCTGCGCTAACAGCGTACCTCGATGCGTCGCACGGACGTCCGGGTCGCTGGCTGGAACTCCTGCTGGTCCGCTGGCCTGGAGAGAAGAGCGCGATTTCCCCTCTGCGCTCCTCTATTTATCCTCCCTACCTCCAAAGGGGATGCTGCGCTGAACAATGGGCTCGTGCACCCCAAGCCCGCGCACGGCAGTCCCCAGGCGCTGTTGATATGCTAATCAGTGAGCGACGTTGGCGGCGTACATCCTAATTACTCCCTTACCCTTCCTAACAATGGGGCCTGCGCGCTCAAGCGCAATTATCCCAACCCCCCATGACTATGCGCAACAGCCCCTGTGACCCCGCTATTCATGCTGTCTCGTGCCTCCCCTGCTTGCCCCGTCGACTCGTGGGGGTGTGTGTGGGGGGAAATGCGCCTCAACCACGGTGGCCGAATGCCCCACGCCGCGACCACACCATATTAAGGCCGGCAGCAGCGCCGCGGTACCACGTAGCACGGGGGAGGTCATCCAATTCCCTGATCGCCGGAAACCGTGAGAATTAATCCCGATAAGGGTCTCTCGGATAAAAACCGGTCGATCAGGTAACCTTCCCTTCCAGCTCTATGGGGGGGGGGGGGGGATGCGTGCGGGTGTGTGCTTATGTGGGGCGGGTGATGGGGGGCAGTGCGGTGGGGGAAGCCGGGCGGCTCCCTGGCTCGGCAGAGCGGCCCCGTCGTTGTGGCACCACATAGCCCCCCGGGGTGCCAGTCCCCGTCCCGGGTTGACTGGAGCACCTCGCCTGGGTTAATTGGTGTCAGAAGTGGGATCGCTAGCCCCCGAGATCCCTCCCTCGATAATGCTAACGGCCGGGCTAGCATCATCAATCGCCCCCCCGCTGCTAAGCGAACCGCTGCTAAGTTCCTCACCCATGGTGTGGGAGCCGTCGCCCGAGGATTCCCCTCCACCGCGGGTCCGCGTAATGGGCATGGTTAATTACCGATTAGTATTCTTCCCCTCTCTACTACGATACTTCCCTTTCCTAATCGCGCGCCTGCAACCCACGCGGAGCGAACGCACGCACGCCCACACACACGCCGCTCCGCGCACTCCAACTCAACTCACGTTATACTCGCGCACCTGTATCACACACGGAGTGAACACACGCGACACCCACTCTCGCACCGCTCTGCGCAGCGCTCCCCCGAGGCGAGCCGCAGCACCACAGAATCACTGCGTACCCACGCGCAACCCGCGCGCTCAGCTCCGCGCAGCGCTCACTCACGTGGCGAACCACTGTGCACACAGCGCACCCACACGCTCACACTGCACGACAAGATCACGCGAGACCACGCTTCGCTATTAATGATTTATTATATGCTACCTGCGAATTGATGTTGAATCAGTGAGTCGACGAGGCTGGCCTATTCCACTAAACCTGTACCTATTCCCTATTTATCGGCTTACGATACCCTACTTCACCTCCCCACTCACTGTTTGGTGCCCGCGGAGGTTCGCTGCTCTCTGCGCTAACAGCGTACCTCGATGCGTCGCACGGACGTCCGGGTCGCTGGCTGGAACTCCTGCTGGTCCGCTGGCCTGGAGAGAAGAGCGCGATTTCCCCTCTGCGCTCCTCTATTTATCCTCCCTACCTCCAAAGGGGATGCTGCGCTGAACAATGGGCTCGTGCACCCCAAGCCCGCGCACGGCAGTCCCCAGGCGCTGTTGATATGCTAATCAGTGAGCGACGTTGGCGGCGTACATCCTAATTACTCCCTTACCCTTCCTAACAATGGGGCCTGCGCGCTCAAGCGCAATTATCCCAACCCCCCATGACTATGCGCAACAGCCCCTGTGACCCCGCTATTCATGCTGTCTCGTGCCTCCCCTGCTTGCCCCGTCGACTCGTGGGGGTGTGTGTGGGGGGAAATGCGCCTCAACCGCGGTGGCCGAATGCCCCACGCCGCGACCACACCATATTAAGGCCGGCAGCAGCGCCGCGGTACCACGTAGCACGGGGGAGGTCATCCAATTCCCTGATCGCCGGAAACCGTGAGAATTAATCCCGATAAGGGTCTCTCGGATAAAAACCGGTCGATCAGGTAACCTTCCCTTCCAGCTCTATGGGGGGGGGGGGATGCGTGCGGGTGTGTGCTTATGTGGGGCGGGTGATGGAGGGCAGTGCGGTGGGGGAAGCCGGGCGGCTCCCTGGCTCGGCAGAGCGGCCCCGTCGTTGTGGCACCACATCACTACGCGTCTGTACGTGCTCACACACGAAGCTCGGCGATTTTTGGCAACGCCACGGGGCTGCATTCACTTTAAATCGAGGACAATGGAGGGCATGGGGAACGTGTTTTTCCATTTATTCAGAATAAGTGCATAATGACACACTGAGATGCACTTACATATTCATGCTTGAAGCACAATGGGCACATTACCCATCAGTATGTTAATATATATGCGGATTGTGCCTTCCAAAATTAACAATCGAATGCAAATATCCTGAAAGGCAAAGGATTGGATCCTAGGGGGGGAGTTATAAGGCGGCTCAGAAGCAGAGCTCAATGCCATTTCGAGAGGGAACTTGATGAGGTTGGACGCTCGACTCGTCGCTCTGCTGATCGCCCTTCAACCGCGAGACAACGCAGCCTGGCGAGCACAATTGCTGCGTCGACAGTTAGGCGACTTTGCGTCGGGAGAGTTCGTGGCGACATCTTCAAACGGGTTCCAGACATCGATATACCGTGAATCTCCAAGTAAGTGTCTATTTTCGCGGATAAAATCTTAAACGTGTTCATCGTCAAATTTACGGGATTTTTTTGCGTCTCGCTTGAACGCAAGTGTCGTTCTTGTTTTAGCCGTTAACAAAATCTAAAACTCAACGCTAAACATCCTTGCGGCCGATAGCGTACTTTTGACTCGATAACACCGCTGCTATTACTCCGCTCACATGGAGCAGAGACGCTCTCCACAGCCCCACGCACACGGGGGCAAGAAGCCATTCAATTGCTCTGTGTGTGGGAAGTCCTTTTCATGGCCATCACATCTTCAGAGACACCAGAGAACACACACGGGCGAGAAGCCGTTCCTGTGCTCTGTGTGCGGGAAGACATTTGCACACTCATCACATCTTCAGAGTCACCAGAGTACACACACGGGCGAGAAGCCGTTCCTGTGTTCTGTGTGTGGGAAGACATTTGCACAGTCATCACATCTTCAGAGTCATCAGAGAACACACACGGGCGAGAAGCCATTCGTGTGCCCTGTGTGTGGGAAGACATTTTCAAAGTCATCAAATCTTCATAGTCATCAGAGAACACACACGGGCGAGAAGCCATTCCTGTGCCCTGTGTGTGGGAAGACATTTTCCAAGTCATCAAATCTTCATAGTCATCAGAGAACACACACGGGCGAGAAGCCATTTTTGTGCCCTGTGTGTGGGAAGACATTTGCAGACTCATCAACCAGGAACAGGCATCAGAAGGTCCACAATGATAGGAAACTGAAATCAAAAGCTGAAATTCAAGGTGCTGCAATGAGTTCTAAAGAAGTTTCCACCTTCGATCCCATGCAGTTGGATCCCGATAGATGGCTGGATGTAATGGAGTGGCTCGAGAGTCAACCAGAGAGCTCGGGGTGACTGAAAAAATATTACGTCATGTGGTTATACCTTTTAAGCCGTATCGAGTACTTTTGTGTGTTATTTTGAACATTTTAGTTTTATAGTTTTTTTGAGAGTTTAATGACGTGCCCAGTGGTGGTTTGTAATGTTATCGGGTTACTTGCCGAAATGGTGTGATGAGCACTGGTTGTGAGAGGGTTCAATTGTAGTCGTTAAGTGTCCCTGTTGAGCTAAAGTTGGAATGCGTCTGTAGGTACATCTTTACTCAACATTTTAAACGATTTTTGTCAAGTATATAGCTTTTTTTTATTGGTATTAATTGACTTTAGATAGTCGATATCAGGATGTACATTGATAACGCGATCGTTGGATATATGGCCTTGACTTCAACATGGACTCGCAGTGAAATGTGGTAAATTAATAAGGAAATCAATGATACTTTAACGTTTTGGTATTCCTGGAACGGAAATGGTTTGCATGGTACTGGAAATGTGTGAACATTTTGACGTAAAAATGATTGCAGATGAATAAAAACGTATTTTTAACAAATGTTTGTCCGGTCTTTAATTTATAATGTTCCTATGTTAAGATAATTTCAGGTGGAGGACCTCCGTCACACAAGTGTGCCCTTAACCCGCAGCATCTTGGCTGTCTACCCGATTAACACGTGTTCCTTGAGGGGAAAGGTCCCCGTAGTTAATCGTTCATCAACGTACCAGTCCCTAATCCCGAAGTATGTCCGGGATAAACTGTACTCTATAACATGTAAACTGTAATACTATAAACTATAACACTGAACATTAAACGATTATAAACTAGTGTTTTAATTTATAACCATTTAAACGGAGGTAAGGTATTATAATATCATTAGAAGTGTGGGGGCCGTTGGCCCCCGGGGTCCCTCCCGCCTGCATCCCCTATTCCGTTTACGTTACCCCACCTCCCTATTACCCGCTACGGTTTCGCTGGTATTTGAACGTGACGCCCCTACTGTTACAGCCTCGCGCCGCGCTCCCACGCTGCGAGCATACGTGCGCACAGCATCATCAATCAAACGCCATACTCCCCCTCTTTACACCGCTACGTACAGCTCTCGCACGCTGCGAGTGTGTGCCCGTCTATAGCCCTGTGCGGCACTCGCCTCCACGTCGAATAACCACGTACCAATGCGCATTCGTATCCGACACGTAACGAATGTATGCGCACTCACGTAACAGCTCCCCGCGGCACTCACTCACCACTGGGTACTCGCGTTATGATCGCGCACCTGTATCACACAAAACGACTGATTGTCCGCTTAACAGCCTCGCCTGTAAACCACCATTGGTGATAGTGTTGTTTGAGAGCAGCTATTAAAGTCGTTTTGGCAAACGAGGTGGTGGCTGACCAAACCATGCCTCGCTGTTTGTCTCCCGAGTGATGACGGATACAAACCAGACCAAGTGGAGACCACGTACCAGATCGGATTTTAGTTACTGATGTTAGAGTGATTGTATTGCAAGTGTGGTCACTACGCGTCTGTACGTGCTCACACACGAAGCTCGGCGATTTTTGGCAACGCCACGGGGCTGCATTCACTTTAAATCGAGGACAATGGAGGGCATGGGGAACGTGTTTTTCCATTTATTCAGAATAAGTGCATAATGACACACTGAGATGCACTTACATATTCATGCTTGAAGCACAATGGGCACATTACCCATCAGTATGTTAATATATATGCGGATTGTGCCTTCCAAAATTAACAATCGAATGCAAATATCCTGAAAGACAAAGGATTGGATCCTAGGGGGGGAGTTATAAGGCGGCTCAGAAGCAGAGCTCAATGCCATTTCGAGAGGGAACTTGATGAGGTTGGACGCTCGACTCGTCGCTCTGCTGATCGCCCTTCAACCGAGAGACAACGCAGCCTGGCGAGCACAATTGCTGTGTCGACAGTTAGGCGACTTTGCGTCGGGAGAGTTCGTGGCGACATCTTCAGACGGGTTCCAGACATCGATAGACCGTGAATCTCCAAGTAAGTGTCTATTTTCGCGGATAAAATCTTAAACGTGTTCGTCGTCAAATTTACGGGATTTTTTTGCGTCTCGCTTGAACGCGAGTGTCGTTCTTGTTTTAGCAGTTAACAAAATCTAAAACTCAACGCTAAACATCCTTGCGGCCGATAGCGTACTTTTGACTCGATAACACCGCTGCTGTTACTCCGCTCACATGGAGCAGAGACGCTCTCCACAGCCCCACGCACACGGGGGCAAGAAGCCATTCAATTGCTCTGTGTGTGGGAAGTCCTTTTCATGGCCATCACATCTTCAGAGACACCAGAGAACACACACGGGCGAGAAGCCGTTCCTGTGCTCTGTGTGCGGGAAGACATTTGCACACTCATCACATCTTCAGAGTCACCAGAGAACACACACGGGCGAGAAGCCGTTCCTGTGCTCTGTGTGCGGGAAGACATTTGCACACTCATCACATCTTCAGAGTCACCAGAGAACACACAAGGGCGAGAAGCCGTTCCTGTGCTCTGTGTGCGGGAAGACATTTGCACACTCATCACATCTTCAGAGTCACCAGAGAACACACACGGGCGAGAAGCCGTTCCTGTGTTCTGTGTGTGGGAAGACATTTGCACAGTCATCACATCTTCAGAGTCATCAGAGAACACACACGGGCGAGAAGCCATTCGTGTGCCCTGTGTGTGGGAAAACATTTTCAAAGTCATCAAATCTTCATAGTCATCAGAGAACACACACGGGCGAGAAGCCATTTCTGTGCCCTGTGTGTGGGAAGACATTTGCAGACTCATCAACCAGGAACAGGCATCAGAAGGTCCACAATGATAGGAAACTGAAATCAAAAGCTGAAATTCAAGGTGCTGCAATGAGTTCTAAAGAAGTTTCCACCTTCGATCCCATGCAGTTGGATCCCGATAGATGGCTGGATGTAATGGAGTGGCTCGAGAGTCAACCAGAGAGCTCGGGGTGACTGAAAAAATATTACGTCATGTGGTTATACCTTTTAAGCCGTATCGAGTACTTTTGTGTGTTATTTTGAACATTTTAGTTTTATAGTTTTTTTGAGAGTTTAATGACGTGCCCAGTGGTGGTTTGTAATGTTATCGGGTTACTTGCCGAAATGGTGTGATGAGCACTGGTTGTGAGAGGGTTCAATTGTAGTCGTTAAGTGTCCCTGTTGAGCTAAAGTTGGAATGCGTCTGTAGGTACATCTTTACTCAACATTTTAAACGATTTTTGTCAAGTATATAGCTTTTTTTGATTGGTATTAATTGACTTTAGATAGTCGATATCAGGATGTACATTGATAACGCGATCGTTGGATATATGGCCTTGACTTCAACATGGACTCGCAGTGAAATGTGGTAAATTAATAAGGAAATCAATGATACTTTAACGTTTTGGTATTCCTGGAACGGAAATGGTTTGCATGGTACTGGAAATGTGTGAACATTTTGACGTAAAAATGATTGCAGATGAATAAAAACGTAATTTTAACAAATGTTTGTCCGGTCTTTAATTTATAATGTTCCTATGTTAAGATAATTTCAGGTGGAGGACCTCCGTCACACAAGTGTGCCCTTAACCCGCAGCATCTTGGCTGTCTACCCGATTAACACGTGTTCCTTGAGGGGAAAGGTCCCCGTAGTTAATCGTTCATCAACGTACCAGTCCCTAATCCCGAAGTATGTCCGGGATAAACTGTACTCTATAACATGTAAACTGTAATACTATAAACTATAACACTGAACATTAAACGATTATAAACTAGTGTTTTAATTTATAACCATTTAAACGGAGGTAAGGTATTATAATATCATTAGAAGTGTGGGGGCCGTTGGCCCCCGGGGTCCCTCCCGCCTGCATCCCCTATTCCGTTTACGTTACCCCACCTCCCTATTACCCGCTACGGTTTCGCTGGTATTTGAACGTGACGCCCCTACTGTTACAGCCTCGCGCCGCGCTCCCACGCTGCGAGCATACGTGCGCACAGCATCATCAATCAAACGCCATACTCCCCCTCTTTACACCGCTACGTACAGCTCTCGCACGCTGCGAGTGTGTGCCCGTCTATAGCCCTGTGCGGCACTCGCCTCCACGTCGAATAACCACGTACCAATGCGCATTCGTATCCGACACGTAACGAATGTATGCGCACTCACGTAACAGCTCCCCGCGGCACTCACTCACCACTGGGTACTCGCGTTATGATCGCGCACCTGTATCACACAAAACGACTGATTGTCCGCTTAACAGCCTCGCCTGTAAACCACCATTGGTGATAGTGTTGTTTGAGAGCAGCTATTAAAGTCGTTTTGGCAAACGAGGTGGTGGCTGACCAAACCATGCCTCGCTGTTTGTCTCCCGAGTGATGACGGATACAAACCAGACCAAGTGGAGACCACGTACCAGATCGGATTTTAGTTACTGATGTTAGAGTGATTGTATTGCAAGTGTGGTCACTGTGGGGGTCGCTAGCCCCCGAGATCCCTCCCTCGATAATGCTAACGGCCGGGCTAGCATCATCAATCGCCCCCCCGCTGCTAAGCGAACCGCTGCTAAGTTCCTCACCCATGGTGTGGGAGCCGTCGCCCGAGGATTCCCCTCCACCGCGGGTCCGCGTAATGGGCATGGTTAATTACCGATTAGTATTCTTCCCCTCTCTACTACGATACTTCCCTTTCCTAATCGCGCGCCTGCAACCCACGCGGAGCGAACGCACGCACGCCCACACACACGCCGCTCCGCGCACTCCAACTCAACTCACGTTATACTCGCGCACCTGTATCACACACGGAGTGAACACACGCGACACCCACTCTCGCACCGCTCTGCGCAGCGCTCCCCCGAGGCGAGCCGCAGCACCACAGAATCACTGCGTACCCACGCGCAACCCGCGCGCTCAGCTCCGCGCAGCGCTCACTCACGTGGCGAACCACTGTGCACACAGCGCACCCACACGCTCACACTGCACGACAAGATCACGCGAGACCACGCTTCGCTATTAATGATTTATTATATGCTACCTGCGAATTGATGTTGAATCAGTGAGTCGACGAGGCTGGCCTATTCCACTAAACCTGTACCTATTCCCTATTTATCGGCTTACGATACCCTACTTCACCTCCCCACTCACTGTTTGGTGCCGGCGGAGGTTCGCTGCTCTCTGCGCTAACAGCGTACCTCGATGCGTCGCACGGACGTCCGGGTCGCTGGCTGGAACTCCTGCTGGTCCGCTGGCCTGGAGAGAAGAGCGCGATTTCCCCTCTGCGCTCCTCTATTTATCCTCCCTACCTCCAAAGGGGATGCTGCGCTGAACAATGGGCTCGTGCACCCCAAGCCCGCGCACGGCAGTCCCCAGGCGCTGTTGATATGCTAATCAGTGAGCGACGTTGGCGGCGTACATCCTAATTACTCCCTTACCCTTCCTAACAATGGGGCCTGCGCGCTCAAGCGCAATTATCCCAACCCCCCATGACTATGCGCAACAGCCCCTGTGACCCCGCTATTCATGCTGTCTCGTGCCTCCCCTGCTTGCCCCGTCGACTCGTGGGGGTGTGTGTGGGGGGAAATGCGCCTCAACCACGGTGGCCGAATGCCCCACGCCGCGACCACACCATATTAAGGCCGGCAGCAGCGCCGCGGTACCACGTAGCACGGGGGAGGTCATCCAATTCCCTGATCGCCGGAAACCGTGAGAATTAATCCCGATAAGGGTCTCTCGGATAAAAACCGGTCGATCAGGTAACCTTCCCTTCCAGCTCTATGGGGGGGGGGGGGGGGGGGATGCGTGCGGGTGTGTGCTTATGTGGGGCGGGTGATGGGGGGCAGTGCGGTGGGGGAAGCCGGGCGGCTCCCTGGCTCGGCAGAGCGGCCCCGTCGTTGTGGCACCACATAGCCCCCCGGGGTGCCAGTCCCCGTCCCGGGTTGACTGGAGCACCTCGCCTGGGTTAATTGGTGTCAGAAGTGGGATCGCTAGCCCCCGAGATCCCTCCCTCGATAATGCTAACGGCCGGGCTAGCATCATCAATCGCCCCCCCGCTGCTAAGCGAACCGCTGCTAAGTTCCTCACCCATGGTGTGGGAGCCGTCGCCCGAGGATTCCCCTCCACCGCGGGTCCGCGTAATGGGCATGGTTAATTACCGATTAGTATTCTTCCCCTCTCTACTACGATACTTCCCTTTCCTAATCGCGCGCCTGCAACCCACGCGGAGCGAACGCACGCACGCCCACACACACGCCGCTCCGCGCACTCCAACTCAACTCACGTTATACTCGCGCACCTGTATCACACACGGAGTGAACACACGCGACACCCACTCTCGCACCGCTCTGCGCAGCGCTCCCCCGAGGCGAGCCGCAGCACCACAGAATCACTGCGTACCCACGCGCAACCCGCGCGCTCAGCTCCGCGCAGCGCTCACTCACGTGGCGAACCACTGTGCACACAGCGCACCCACACGCTCACACTGCACGACAAGATCACGCGAGACCACGCTTCGCTATTAATGATTTATTATATGCTACCTGCGAATTGATGTTGAATCAGTGAGTCGACGAGGCTGGCCTATTCCACTAAACCTGTACCTATTCCCTATTTATCGGCTTACGATACCCTACTTCACCTCCCCACTCACTGTTTGGTGCCCGCGGAGGTTCGCTGCTCTCTGCGCTAACAGCGTACCTCGATGCGTCGCACGGACGTCCGGGTCGCTGGCTGGAACTCCTGCTGGTCCGCTGGCCTGGAGAGAAGAGCGCGATTTCCCCTCTGCGCTCCTCTATTTATCCTCCCTACCTCCAAAGGGGATGCTGCGCTGAACAATGGGCTCGTGCACCCCAAGCCCGCGCACGGCAGTCCCCAGGCGCTGTTGATATGCTAATCAGTGAGCGACGTTGGCGGCGTACATCCTAATTACTCCCTTACCCTTCCTAACAATGGGGCCTGCGCGCTCAAGCGCAATTATCCCAACCCCCCATGACTATGCGCAACAGCCCCTGTGACCCCGCTATTCATGCTGTCTCGTGCCTCCCCTGCTTGCCCCGTCGACTCGTGGGGGTGTGTGTGGGGGGAAATGCGCCTCAACCACGGTGGCCGAATGCCCCACGCCGCGACCACACCATATTAAGGCCGGCAGCAGCGCCGCGGTACCACGTAGCACGGGGGAGGTCATCCAATTCCCTGATCGCCGGAAACCGTGAGAATTAATCCCGATAAGGGTCTCTCGGATAAAAACCGGTCGATCAGGTAACCTTCCCTTCCAGCTCTATGGGGGGGGGGGGGGGGGGATGCGTGCGGGTGTGTGCTTATGTGGGGCGGGTGATGGGGGGCAGTGCGGTGGGGGAAGCCGGGCGGCTCCCTGGCTCGGCAGAGCGGCCCCGTCGTTGTGGCACCACATAGCCCCCCGGGGTGCCAGTCCCCGTCCCGGGTTGACTGGAGCACCTCGCCTGGGTTAATTGGTGTCAGAAGTGGGATCGCTAGCCCCCGAGATCCCTCCCTCGATAATGCTAACGGCCGGGCTAGCATCATCAATCGCCCCCCCGCTGCTAAGCGAACCGCTGCTAAGTTCCTCACCCATGGTGTGGGAGCCGTCGCCCGAGGATTCCCCTCCACCGCGGGTCCGCGTAATGGGCATGGTTAATTACCGATTAGTATTCTTCCCCTCTCTACTACGATACTTCCCTTTCCTAATCGCGCGCCTGCAACCCACGCGGAGCGAACGCACGCACGCCCACACACACGCCGCTCCGCGCACTCCAACTCAACTCACGTTATACTCGCGCACCTGTATCACACACGGAGTGAACACACGCGACACCCACTCTCGCACCGCTCTGCGCAGCGCTCCCCCGAGGCGAGCCGCAGCACCACAGAATCACTGCGTACCCACGCGCAACCCGCGCGCTCAGCTCCGCGCAGCGCTCACTCACGTGGCGAACCACTGTGCACACAGCGCACCCACACGCTCACACTGCACGACAAGATCACGCGAGACCACGCTTCGCTATTAATGATTTATTATATGCTACCTGCGAATTGATGTTGAATCAGTGAGTCGACGAGGCTGGCCTATTCCACTAAACCTGTACCTATTCCCTATTTATCGGCTTACGATACCCTACTTCACCTCCCCACTCACTGTTTGGTGCCCGCGGAGGTTCGCTGCTCTCTGCGCTAACAGCGTACCTCGATGCGTCGCACGGACGTCCGGGTCGCTGGCTGGAACTCCTGCTGGTCCGCTGGCCTGGAGAGAAGAGCGCGATTTCCCCTCTGCGCTCCTCTATTTATCCTCCCTACCTCCAAAGGGGATGCTGCGCTGAACAATGGGCTCGTGCACCCCAAGCCCGCGCACGGCAGTCCCCAGGCGCTGTTGATATGCTAATCAGTGAGCGACGTTGGCGGCGTACATCCTAATTACTCCCTTACCCTTCCTAACAATGGGGCCTGCGCGCTCAAGCGCAATTATCCCAACCCCCCATGACTATGCGCAACAGCCCCTGTGACCCCGCTATTCATGCTGTCTCGTGCCTCCCCTGCTTGCCCCGTCGACTCGTGGGGGTGTGTGTGGGGGGAAATGCGCCTCAACCGCGGTGGCCGAATGCCCCACGCCGCGACCACACCATATTAAGGCCGGCAGCAGCGCCGCGGTACCACGTAGCACGGGGGAGGTCATCCAATTCCCTGATCGCCGGAAACCGTGAGAATTAATCCCGATAAGGGTCTCTCGGATAAAAACCGGTCGATCAGGTAACCTTCCCTTCCAGCTCTATGGGGGGGGGGGGGATGCGTGCGGGTGTGTGCTTATGTGGGGCGGGTGATGGGGGGCAGTGCGGTGGGGGAAGCCGGGCGGCTCCCTGGCTCGGCAGAGCGGCCCCGTCGTTGTGGCACCACATCACTACGCGTCTGTACGTGCTCACACACGAAGCTCGGCGATTTTTGGCAACGCCACGGGGCTGCATTCACTTTAAATCGAGGACCGACACGTAACGAATGTATGCGCACTCACGTAACAGCTCCCCGCGGCACTCACTCACCACTGGGTACTCGCGTTATGATCGCGCACCTGTATCACACAAAACGACTGATTGTCCGCTTAACAGCCTCGCCTGTAAACCACCATTGGTGATAGTGTTGTTTGAGAGCAGCTATTAAAGTCGTTTTGGCAAACGAGGTGGTGGCTGACCAAACCATGCCTCGCTGTTTGTCTCCCGAGTGATGACGGATACAAACCAGACCAAGTGGAGACCACGTACCAGATCGGATTTTAGTTACTGATGTTAGAGTGATTGTATTGCAAGTGTGGTCACTACGCGTCTGTACGTGCTCACACACGAAGCTCGGCGATTTTTGGCAACGCCACGGGGCTGCATTCACTTTAAATCGAGGACAATGGAGGGCATGGGGAACGTGTTTTTCCATTTATTCAGAATAAGTGCATAATGACACACTGAGATGCACTTACATATTCATGCTTGAAGCACAATGGGCACATTACCCATCAGTATGTTAATATATATGCGGATTGTGCCTTCCAAAATTAACAATCGAATGCAAATATCCTGAAAGACAAAGGATTGGATCCTAGGGGGGGAGTTATAAGGCGGCTCAGAAGCAGAGCTCAATGCCATTTCGAGAGGGAACTTGATGAGGTTGGACGCTCGACTCGTCGCTCTGCTGATCGCCCTTCAACCGCGAGACAACGCAGCCTGGCGAGCACAATTGCTGCGTCGACAGTTAGGCGACTTTGCGTCGGGAGAGTTCGTGGCGACATCTTCAAACGGGTTCCAGACATCGATATACCGTGAATCTCCAAGTAAGTGTCTATTTTCGCGGATAAAATCTTAAACGTGTTCGTCGTCAAATTTACGGGATTTTTTTGCGTCTCGCTTGAACGCGAGTGTCGTTCTTGTTTTAGCCGTTAACAAAATCTAAAACTCAACGCAAAACATCCTTGCGGCCGATAGCGTACTTTTGACTCGATAACACCGCTGCTGTTACTCCGCTCACATGGAGCAGAGACGCTCTCCACAGCCCCACGCACACGGGGGCAAGAAGCCATTCAATTGCTCTGTGTGTGGGAAGTCCTTTTCATGGCCATCACATCTTCAGAGACACCAGAGAACACACACGGGCGAGAAGCCGTTCCTGTGCTCTGTGTGCGGGAAGACATTTGCACACTCATCACATCTTCAGAGTCACCAGAGAACACACACGGGCGAGAAGCCGTTCCTGTGCTCTGTGTGCGGGAAGACATTTGCACACTCATCACATCTTCAGAGTCACCAGAGAACACACAAGGGCGAGAAGCCGTTCCTGTGCTCTGTGTGCGGGAAGACATTTGCACACTCATCACATCTTCAGAGTCACCAGAGAACACACACGGGCGAGAAGCCGTTCCTGTGTTCTGTGTGTGGGAAGACATTTGCACAGTCATCACATCTTCAGAGTCATCAGAGAACACACACGGGCGAGAAGCCATTCGTGTGCCCTGTGTGTGGGAAGACATTTTCAAAGTCATCAAATCTTCATAGTCATCAGAGAACACACACGGGCGAGAAGCCATTTCTGTGCCCTGTGTGTGGGAAGACATTTGCAGACTCATCAACCAGGAACAGGCATCAGAAGGTCCACAATGATAGGAAACTGAAATCAAAAGCTGAAATTCAAGGTGCTGCAATGAGTTCTAAAGAAGTTTCCACCTTCGATCCCATGCAGTTGGATCCCGATAGATGGCTGGATGTAATGGAGTGGCTCGAGAGTCAACCAGAGAGCTCGGGGTGACTGAAAAAATATTACGTCATGTGGTTATACCTTTTAAGCCGTATCGAGTACTTTTGTGTGTTATTTTGAACATTTTAGTTTTATAGTTTTTTTGAGAGTTTAATGACGTGCCCAGTGGTGGTTTGTAATGTTATCGGGTTACTTGCCGAAATGGTGTGATGAGCACTGGTTGTGAGAGGGTTCAATTGTAGTCGTTAAGTGTCCCTGTTGAGCTAAAGTTGGAATGCGTCTGTAGGTACATCTTTACTCAACATTTTAAACGATTTTTGTCAAGTATATAGCTTTTTTTGATTGGTATTAATTGACTTTAGATAGTCGATATCAGGATGTACATTGATAACGCGATCGTTGGATATATGGCCTTGACTTCAACATGGACTCGCAGTGAAATGTGGTAAATTAATAAGGAAATCAATGATACTTTAACGTTTTGGTATTCCTGGAACGGAAATGGTTTGCATGGTACTGGAAATGTGTGAACATTTTGACGTAAAAATGATTGCAGATGAATAAAAACGTATTTTTAACAAATGTTTGTCCGGTCTTTAATTTATAATGTTTCTATGTTAAGATAATTTCAGGTGGAGGACCTCCGTCACACAAGTGTGCCCTTAACCCGCAGCATCTTGGCTGTCTACCCGATTAACACGTGTTCCTTGAGGGGAAAGGTCCCCGTAGTTAATCGTTCATCAACGTACCAGTCCCTAATCCCGAAGTATGTCCGGGATAAACTGTACTCTATAACATGTAAACTGTAATACTATAAACTATAACACTGAACATTAAACGATTATAAACTAGTGTTTTAATTTATAACCATTTAAACGGAGGTAAGGTATTATAATATCATTAGAAGTGTGGGGGCCGTTGGCCCCCGGGGTCCCTCCCGCCTGCATCCCCTATTCCGTTTACGTTACCCCACCTCCCTATTACCCGCTACGGTTTCGCTGGTATTTGAACGTGACGCCCCTACTGTTACAGCCTCGCGCCGCGCTCCCACGCTGCGAGCATACGTGCGCACAGCATCATCAATCAAACGCCATACTCCCCCTCTTTACACCGCTACGTACAGCTCTCGCACGCTGTGTGCCCGTCTATAGCCCTGTGCGGCACTCGCCTCCACGTCGAATAACCACGTACCAATGCGCATTCGTATCCGACACGTAACGAATGTATGCGCACTCACGTAACAGCTCCCCGCGGCACTCACTCACCACTGGGTACTCGCGTTATGATCGCGCACCTGTATCACACAAAACGACTGATTGTCCGCTTAACAGCCTCGCCTGTAAACCACCATTGGTGATAGTGTTGTTTGAGAGCAGCTATTAAAGTCGTTTTGGCAAACGAGGTGGTGGCTGACCAAACCATGCCTCGCTGTTTGTCTCCCGAGTGATGACGGATACAAACCAGACCAAGTGGAGACCACGTACCAGATCGGATTTTAGTTACTGATGTTAGAGTGATTGTATTGCAAGTGTGGTCACTGTGGGGGTCGCTAGCCCCCGAGATCCCTCCCTCGATAATGCTAACGGCCGGGCTAGCATCATCAATCGCCCCCCCGCTGCTAAGCGAACCGCTGCTAAGTTCCTCACCCATGGTGTGGGAGCCGTCGCCCGAGGATTCCCCTCCACCGCGGGTCCACGTAATGGGCATGGTTAATTACCGATTAGTATTCTTCCCCTCTCTACTACGATACTTCCCTTTCCTAATCGCGCGCCTGCAACCCACGCGGAGCGAACGCACGCACGCCCACACACACGCCGCTCCGCGCACTCCAACTCAACTCACGTTATACTCGCGCACCTGTATCACACACGGAGTGAACACACGCGACACCCACTCTCGCACCGCTCTGCGCAGCGCTCCCCCGAGGCGAGCCGCAGCACCACAGAATCACTGCGTACCCACGCGCAACCCGCGCGCTCAGCTCCGCGCAGCGCTCACTCACGTGGCGAACCACTGTGCACACAGCGCACCCACACGCTCACACTGCACGACAAGATCACGCGAGACCACGCTTCGCTATTAATGATTTATTATATGCTACCTGCGAATTGATGTTGAATCAGTGAGTCGACGAGGCTGGCCTATTCCACTAAACCTGTACCTATTCCCTATTTATCGGCTTACGATACCCTACTTCACCTCCCCACTCACTGTTTGGTGCCGGCGGAGGTTCGCTGCTCTCTGCGCTAACAGCGTACCTCGATGCGTCGCACGGACGTCCGGGTCGCTGGCTGGAACTCCTGCTGGTCCGCTGGCCTGGAGAGAAGAGCGCGATTTCCCCTCTGCGCTCCTCTATTTATCCTCCCTACCTCCAAAGGGGATGCTGCGCTGAACAATGGGCTCGTGCACCCCAAGCCCGCGCACGGCAGTCCCCAGGCGCTGTTGATATGCTAATCAGTGAGCGACGTTGGCGGCGTACATCCTAATTACTCCCTTACCCTTCCTAACAATGGGGCCTGCGCGCTCAAGCGCAATTATCCCAACCCCCCATGACTATGCGCAACAGCCCCTGTGACCCCGCTATTCATGCTGTCTCGTGCCTCCCCTGCTTGCCCCGTCGACTCGTGGGGGTGTGTGTGGGGGGAAATGCGCCTCAACCACGGTGGCCGAATGCCCCACGCCGCGACCACACCATATTAAGGCCGGCAGCAGCGCCGCGGTACCACGTAGCACGGGGGAGGTCATCCAATTCCCTGATCGCCGGAAACCGTGAGAATTAATCCCGATAAGGGTCTCTCGGATAAAAACCGGTCGATCAGGTAACCTTCCCTTCCAGCTCTATGGGGGGGGGGGGGGGGGGGGATGCGTGCGGGTGTGTGCTTATGTGGGGCGGGTGATGGGGGGCAGTGCGGTGGGGGAAGCCGGGCGGCTCCCTGGCTCGGCAGAGCGGCCCCGTCGTTGTGGCACCACATAGCCCCCCGGGGTGCCAGTCCCCGTCCCGGGTTGACTGGAGCACCTCGCCTGGGTTAATTGGTGTCAGAAGTGGGATCGCTAGCCCCCGAGATCCCTCCCTCGATAATGCTAACGGCCGGGCTAGCATCATCAATCGCCCCCCCGCTGCTAAGCGAACCGCTGCTAAGTTCCTCACCCATGGTGTGGGAGCCGTCGCCCGAGGATTCCCCTCCACCGCGGGTCCGCGTAATGGGCATGGTTAATTACCGATTAGTATTCTTCCCCTCTCTACTACGATACTTCCCTTTCCTAATCGCGCGCCTGCAACCCACGCGGAGCGAACGCACGCACGCCCACACACACGCCGCTCCGCGCACTCCAACTCAACTCACGTTATACTCGCGCACCTGTATCACACACGGAGTGAACACACGCGACACCCACTCTCGCACCGCTCTGCGCAGCGCTCCCCCGAGGCGAGCCGCAGCACCACAGAATCACTGCGTACCCACGCGCAACCCGCGCGCTCAGCTCCGCGCAGCGCTCACTCACGTGGCGAACCACTGTGCACACAGCGCACCCACACGCTCACACTGCACGACAAGATCACGCGAGACCACGCTTCGCTATTAATGATTTATTATATGCTACCTGCGAATTGATGTTGAATCAGTGAGTCGACGAGGCTGGCCTATTCCACTAAACCTGTACCTATTCCCTATTTATCGGCTTACGATACCCTACTTCACCTCCCCACTCACTGTTTGGTGCCCGCGGAGGTTCGCTGCTCTCTGCGCTAACAGCGTACCTCGATGCGTCGCACGGACGTCCGGGTCGCTGGCTGGAACTCCTGCTGGTCCGCTGGCCTGGAGAGAAGAGCGCGATTTCCCCTCTGCGCTCCTCTATTTATCCTCCCTACCTCCAAAGGGGATGCTGCGCTGAACAATGGGCTCGTGCACCCCAAGCCCGCGCACGGCAGTCCCCAGGCGCTGTTGATATGCTAATCAGTGAGCGACGTTGGCGGCGTACATCCTAATTACTCCCTTACCCTTCCTAACAATGGGGCCTGCGCGCTCAAGCGCAATTATCCCAACCCCCCATGACTATGCGCAACAGCCCCTGTGACCCCGCTATTCATGCTGTCTCGTGCCTCCCCTGCTTGCCCCGTCGACTCGTGGGGGTGTGTGTGGGGGGAAATGCGCCTCAACCGCGGTGGCCGAATGCCCCACGCCGCGACCACACCATATTAAGGCCGGCAGCAGCGCCGCGGTACCACGTAGCACGGGGGAGGTCATCCAATTCCCTGATCGCCGGAAACCGTGAGAATTAATCCCGATAAGGGTCTCTCGGATAAAAACCGGTCGATCAGGTAACCTTCCCTTCCAGCTCTATGGGGGGGGGGGATGCGTGCGGGTGTGTGCTTATGTGGGGCGGGTGATGGAGGGCAGTGCGGTGGGGGAAGCCGGGCGGCTCCCTGGCTCGGCAGAGCGGCCCCGTCGTTGTGGCACCACATCACTACGCGTCTGTACGTGCTCACACACGAAGCTCGGCGATTTTTGGCACCGCCACGGGGCTGCATTCACTTTAAATCGAGGACAATGGAGGGCATGGGGAACGTGTTTTTCCATTTATTCAGAATAAGTGCATAATGACACACTGAGATGCACTTACATATTCATGCTTGAAGCACAATGGGCACATTACCCATCAGTATGTTAATATATATGCGGATTGTGCCTTCCAAAATTAACAATCGAATGCAAATATCCTGAAAGGCAAAGGATTGGATCCTAGGGGGGGAGTTATAAGGCGGCTCAGAAGCAGAGCTCAATGCCATTTCGAGAGGGAACTTGATGAGGTTGGACGCTCGACTCGTCGCTCTGCTGATCGCCCTTCAACCGCGAGACAACGCAGCCTGGCGAGCACAATTGCTGCGTCGACAGTTAGGCGACTTTGCGTCGGGAGAGTTCGTGGCGACATCTTCAAACGGGTTCCAGACATCGATATACCGTGAATCTCCAAGTAAGTGTCTATTTTCGCGGATAAAATCTTAAACGTGTTCGTCGTCAAATTTACGGGATTTTTTTGCGTCTCGCTTGAACGCGAGTGTCGTTCTTGTTTTAGCCGTTAACAAAATCTAAAACTCAACGCTAAACATCCTTGCGGCCGATAGCGTACTTTTGACTCGATAACACCGCTGCTGTTACTCCGCTCACATGGAGCAGAGACGCTCTCCACAGCCCCACGCACACGGGGGCAAGAAGCCATTCAATTGCTCTGTGTGTGGGAAGTCCTTTTCATGGCCATCACATCTTCAGAGACACCAGAGAACACACACGGGCGAGAAGCCGTTCCTGTGCTCTGTGTGCGGGAAGACATTTGCACACTCATCACATCTTCAGAGTCACCAGAGAACACACACGGGCGAGAAGCCGTTCCTGTGTTCTGTGTGTGGGAAGACATTTGCACAGTCATCACATCTTCAGAGTCATCAGAGAACACACACGGGCGAGAAGCCATTCGTGTGCCCTGTGTGTGGGAAGACATTTTCAAAGTCATCAAATCTTCATAGTCATCAGAGAACACACACGGGCGAGAAGCCATTCCTGTGCCCTGTGTGTGGGAAGACATTTTCCAAGTCATCAAATCTTCATAGTCATCAGAGAACACACACGGGCGAGAAGCCATTTTTGTGCCCTGTGTGTGGGAAGACATTTGCAGACTCATCAACCAGGAACAGGCATCAGAAGGTCCACAATGATAGGAAACTGAAATCAAAAGCTGAAATTCAAGGTGCTGCAATGAGTTCTAAAGAAGTTTCCACCTTCGATCCCATGCAGTTGGATCCCGATAGATGGCTGGATGTAATGGAGTGGCTCGAGAGTCAACCAGAGAGCTCGGGGTGACTGAAAAAATATTACGTCATGTGGTTATACCTTTTAAGCCGTATCGAGTACTTTTGTGTGTTATTTTGAACATTTTAGTTTTATAGTTTTTTTGAGAGTTTAATGACGTGCCCAGTGGTGGTTTGTAATGTTATCGGGTTACTTGCCGAAATGGTGTGATGAGCACTGGTTGTGAGAGGGTTCAATTGTAGTCGTTAAGTGTCCCTGTTGAGCTAAAGTTGGAATGCGTCTGTAGGTACATCTTTACTCAACATTTTAAACGATTTTTGTCAAGTATATAGCTTTTTTTTATTGGTATTAATTGACTTTAGATAGTCGATATCAGGATGTACATTGATAACGCGATCGTTGGATATATGGCCTTGACTTCAACATGGACTCGCAGTGAAATGTGGTAAATTAATAAGGAAATCAATGATACTTTAACGTTTTGGTATTCCTGGAACGGAAATGGTTTGCATGGTACTGGAAATGTGTGAACATTTTGACGTAAAAATGATTGCAGATGAATAAAAACGTATTTTTAACAAATGTTTGTCCGGTCTTTAATTTATAATGTTCCTATGTTAAGATAATTTCAGGTGGAGGACCTCCGTCACACAAGTGTGCCCTTAACCCGCAGCATCTTGGCTGTCTACCCGATTAACACGTGTTCCTTGAGGGGAAAGGTCCCCGTAGTTAATCGTTCATCAACGTACCAGTCCCTAATCCCGAAGTATGTCCGGGATAAACTGTACTCTATAACATGTAAACTGTAATACTATAAACTATAACACTGAACATTAAACGATTATAAACTAGTGTTTTAATTTATAACCATTTAAACGGAGGTAAGGTATTATAATATCATTAGAAGTGTGGGGGCCGTTGGCCCCCGGGGTCCCTCCCGCCTGCATCCCCTATTCCGTTTACGTTACCCCACCTCCCTATTACCCGCTACGGTTTCGCTGGTATTTGAACGTGACGCCCCTACTGTTACAGCCTCGCGCCGCGCTCCCACGCTGCGAGCATACGTGCGCACAGCATCATCAATCAAACGCCATACTCCCCCTCTTTACACCGCTACGTACAGCTCTCGCACGCTGCGAGTGTGTGCCCGTCTATAGCCCTGTGCGGCACTCGCCTCCACGTCGAATAACCACGTACCAATGCGCATTCGTATCCGACACGTAACGAATGTATGCGCACTCACGTAACAGCTCCCCGCGGCACTCACTCACCACTGGGTACTCGCGTTATGATCGCGCACCTGTATCACACAAAACGACTGATTGTCCGCTTAACAGCCTCGCCTGTAAACCACCATTGGTGATAGTGTTGTTTGAGAGCAGCTATTAAAGTCGTTTTGGCAAACGAGGTGGTGGCTGACCAAACCATGCCTCGCTGTTTGTCTCCCGAGTGATGACGGATACAAACCAGACCAAGTGGAGACCACGTACCAGATCGGATTTTAGTTACTGATGTTAGAGTGATTGTATTGCAAGTGTGGTCACTGTGGGGGTCGCTAGCCCCCGAGATCCCTCCCTCGATAATGCTAACGGCCGGGCTAGCATCATCAATCGCCCCCCCGCTGCTAAGCGAACCGCTGCTAAGTTCCTCACCCATGGTGTGGGAGCCGTCGCCCGAGGATTCCCCTCCACCGCGGGTCCACGTAATGGGCATGGTTAATTACCGATTAGTATTCTTCCCCTCTCTACTACGATACTTCCCTTTCCTAATCGCGCGCCTGCAACCCACGCGGAGCGAACGCACGCACGCCCACACACACGCCGCTCCGCGCACTCCAACTCAACTCACGTTATACTCGCGCACCTGTATCACACACGGAGTGAACACACGCGACACCCACTCTCGCACCGCTCTGCGCAGCGCTCCCCCGAGGCGAGCCGCAGCACCACAGAATCACTGCGTACCCACGCGCAACCCGCGCGCTCAGCTCCGCGCAGCGCTCACTCACGTGGCGAACCACTGTGCACACAGCGCACCCACACGCTCACACTGCACGACAAGATCACGCGAGACCACGCTTCGCTATTAATGATTTATTATATGCTACCTGCGAATTGATGTTGAATCAGTGAGTCGACGAGGCTGGCCTATTCCACTAAACCTGTACCTATTCCCTATTTATCGGCTTACGATACCCTACTTCACCTCCCCACTCACTGTTTGGTGCCGGCGGAGGTTCGCTGCTCTCTGCGCTAACAGCGTACCTCGATGCGTCGCACGGACGTCCGGGTCGCTGGCTGGAACTCCTGCTGGTCCGCTGGCCTGGAGAGAAGAGCGCGATTTCCCCTCTGCGCTCCTCTATTTATCCTCCCTACCTCCAAAGGGGATGCTGCGCTGAACAATGGGCTCGTGCACCCCAAGCCCGCGCACGGCAGTCCCCAGGCGCTGTTGATATGCTAATCAGTGAGCGACGTTGGCGGCGTACATCCTAATTACTCCCTTACCCTTCCTAACAATGGGGCCTGCGCGCTCAAGCGCAATTATCCCAACCCCCCATGACTATGCGCAACAGCCCCTGTGACCCCGCTATTCATGCTGTCTCGTGCCTCCCCTGCTTGCCCCGTCGACTCGTGGGGGTGTGTGTGGGGGGAAATGCGCCTCAACCACGGTGGCCGAATGCCCCACGCCGCGACCATACCATATTAAGGCCGGCAGCAGCGCCGCGGTACCACGTAGCACGGGGGAGGTCATCCAATTCCCTGATCGCCGGAAACCGTGAGAATTAATCCCGATAAGGGTCTCTCGGATAAAAACCGGTCGATCAGGTAACCTTCCCTTCCAGCTCTATGGGGGGGGGGGATGCGTGCGGGTGTGTGCTTATGTGGGGCGGGTGATGGAGGGCAGTGCGGTGGGGGAAGCCGGGCGGCTCCCTGGCTCGGCAGAGCGGCCCCGTCGTTGTGGCACCACATCACTACGCGTCTGTACGTGCTCACACACGAAGCTCGGCGATTTTTGGCAACGCCACGGGGCTGCATTCACTTTAAATCGAGGACAATGGAGGGCATGGGGAACGTGTTTTTCCATTTATTCAGAATAAGTGCATAATGACACACTGAGATGCACTTACATATTCATGCTTGAAGCACAATGGGCACATTACCCATCAGTATGTTAATATATATGCGGATTGTGCCTTCCAAAATTAACAATCGAATGCAAATATCCTGAAAGGCAAAGGATTGGATCCTAGGGGGGGAGTTATAAGGCGGCTCAGAAGCAGAGCTCAATGCCATTTCGAGAGGGAACTTGATGAGGTTGGACGCTCGACTCGTCGCTCTGCTGATCGCCCTTCAACCGCGAGACAACGCAGCCTGGCGAGCACAATTGCTGCGTCGACAGTTAGGCGACTTTGCGTCGGGAGAGTTCGTGGCGACATCTTCAAACGGGTTCCAGACATCGATATACCGTGAATCTCCAAGTAAGTGTCTATTTTCGCGGATAAAATCTTAAACGTGTTCGTCGTCAAATTTACGGGATTTTTTTGCGTCTCGCTTGAACGCGAGTGTCGTTCTTGTTTTAGCCGTTAACAAAATCTAAAACTCAACGCTAAACATCCTTGCGGCCGATAGCGTACTTTTGACTCGATAACACCGCTGCTGTTACTCCGCTCACATGGAGCAGAGACGCTCTCCACAGCCCCACGCACACGGGGGCAAGAAGCCATTCAATTGCTCTGTGTGTGGGAAGTCCTTTTCATGGCCATCACATCTTCAGAGACACCAGAGAACACACACGGGCGAGAAGCCGTTCCTGTGCTCTGTGTGCGGGAAGACATTTGCACACTCATCACATCTTCAGAGTCACCAGAGAACACACACGGGCGAGAAGCCGTTCCTGTGCTCTGTGTGCGGGAAGACATTTGCACACTCATCACATCTTCAGAGTCACCAGAGAACACACAAGGGCGAGAAGCCGTTCTTGTGCTCTGTGTGCGGGAAGACATTTGCACACTCATCACATCTTCAGAGTCACCAGAGAACACACACGGGCGAGAAGCCGTTCCTGTGTTCTGTGTGTGGGAAGACATTTGCACAGTCATCACATCTTCAGAGTCATCAGAGAACACACACGGGCGAGAAGCCATTCGTGTGCCCTGTGTGTGGGAAGACATTTTCAAAGTCATCAAATCTTCATAGTCATCAGAGAACACACACGGGCGAGAAGCCATTTCTGTGCCCTGTGTGTGGGAAGACATTTGCAGACTCATCAACCAGGAACAGGCATCAGAAGGTCCACAATGATAGGAAACTGAAATCAAAAGCTGAAATTCAAGGTGCTGCAATGAGTTCTAAAGAAGTTTCCACCTTCGATCCCATGCAGTTGGATCCCGATAGATGGCTGGATGTAATGGAGTGGCTCGAGAGTCAACCAGAGAGCTCGGGGTGACTGAAAAAATATTACGTCATGTGGTTATACCTTTTAAGCCGTATCGAGTACTTTTGTGTGTTATTTTGAACATTTTAGTTTTATAGTTTTTTTGAGAGTTTAATGACGTGCCCAGTGGTGGTTTGTAATGTTATCGGGTTACTTGCCGAAATGGTGTGATGAGCACTGGTTGTGAGAGGGTTCAATTGTAGTCGTTAAGTGTCCCTGTTGAGCTAAAGTTGGAATGCGTCTGTAGGTACATCTTTACTCAACATTTTAAACGATTTTTGTCAAGTATATAGCTTTTTTTGATTGGTATTAATTGACTTTAGATAGTCGATATCAGGATGTACATTGATAACGCGATCGTTGGATATATGGCCTTGACTTCAACATGGACTCGCAGTGAAATGTGGTAAATTAATAAGGAAATCAATGATACTTTAACGTTTTGGTATTCCTGGAACGGAAATGGTTTGCATGGTACTGGAAATGTGTGAACATTTTGACGTAAAAATGATTGCAGATGAATAAAAACGTATTTTTAACAAATGTTTGTCCGGTCTTTAATTTATAATGTTTCTATGTTAAGATAATTTCAGGTGGAGGACCTCCGTCACACAAGTGTGCCCTTAACCCGCAGCATCTTGGCTGTCTACCCGATTAACACGTGTTCCTTGAGGGGAAAGGTCCCCGTAGTTAATCGTTCATCAACGTACCAGTCCCTAATCCCGAAGTATGTCCGGGATAAACTGTACTCTATAACATGTAAACTGTAATACTATAAACTATAACACTGAACATTAAACGATTATAAACTAGTGTTTTAATTTATAACCATTTAAACGGAGGTAAGGTATTATAATATCATTAGAAGTGTGGGGGCCGTTGGCCCCCGGGGTCCCTCCCGCCTGCATCCCCTATTCCGTTTACGTTACCCCACCTCCCTATTACCCGCTACGGTTTCGCTGGTATTTGAACGTGACGCCCCTACTGTTACAGCCTCGCGCCGCGCTCCCACGCTGCGAGCATACGTGCGCACAGCATCATCAATCAAACGCCATACTCCCCCTCTTTACACCGCTACGTACAGCTCTCGCACGCTGCGAGTGTGTGCCCGTCTATAGCCCTGTGCGGCACTCGCCTCCACGTCGAATAACCACGTACCAATGCGCATTCGTATCCGACACGTAACGAATGTATGCGCACTCACGTAACAGCTCCCCGCGGCACTCACTCACCACTGGGTACTCGCGTTATGATCGCGCACCTGTATCACACAAAACGACTGATTGTCCGCTTAACAGCCTCGCCTGTAAACCACCATTGGTGATAGTGTTGTTTGAGAGCAGCTATTAAAGTCGTTTTGGCAAACGAGGTGGTGGCTGACCAAACCATGCCTCGCTGTTTGTCTCCCGAGTGATGACGGATACAAACCAGACCAAGTGGAGACCACGTACCAGATCGGATTTTAGTTACTGATGTTAGAGTGATTGTATTGCAAGTGTGGTCACTGTGGGGGTCGCTAGCCCCCGAGATCCCTCCCTCGATAATGCTAACGGCCGGGCTAGCATCATCAATCGCCCCCCCGCTGCTAAGCGAACCGCTGCTAAGTTCCTCACCCATGGTGTGGGAGCCGTCGCCCGAGGATTCCCCTCCACCGCGGGTCCACGTAATGGGCATGGTTAATTACCGATTAGTATTCTTCCCCTCTCTACTACGATACTTCCCTTTCCTAATCGCGCGCCTGCAACCCACGCGGAGCGAACGCACGCACGCCCACACACACGCCGCTCCGCGCACTCCAACTCAACTCACGTTATACTCGCGCACCTGTATCACACACGGAGTGAACACACGCGACACCCACTCTCGCACCGCTCTGCGCAGCGCTCCCCCGAGGCGAGCCGCAGCACCACAGAATCACTGCGTACCCACGCGCAACCCGCGCGCTCAGCTCCGCGCAGCGCTCACTCACGTGGCGAACCACTGTGCACACAGCGCACCCACACGCTCACACTGCACGACAAGATCACGCGAGACCACGCTTCGCTATTAATGATTTATTATATGCTACCTGCGAATTGATGTTGAATCAGTGAGTCGACGAGGCTGGCCTATTCCACTAAACCTGTACCTATTCCCTATTTATCGGCTTACGATACCCTACTTCACCTCCCCACTCACTGTTTGGTGCCGGCGGAGGTTCGCTGCTCTCTGCGCTAACAGCGTACCTCGATGCGTCGCACGGACGTCCGGGTCGCTGGCTGGAACTCCTGCTGGTCCGCTGGCCTGGAGAGAAGAGCGCGATTTCCCCTCTGCGCTCCTCTATTTATCCTCCCTACCTCCAAAGGGGATGCTGCGCTGAACAATGGGCTCGTGCACCCCAAGCCCGCGCACGGCAGTCCCCAGGCGCTGTTGATATGCTAATCAGTGAGCGACGTTGGCGGCGTACATCCTAATTACTCCCTTACCCTTCCTAACAATGGGGCCTGCGCGCTCAAGCGCAATTATCCCAACCCCCCATGACTATGCGCAACAGCCCCTGTGACCCCGCTATTCATGCTGTCTCGTGCCTCCCCTGCTTGCCCCGTCGACTCGTGGGGGTGTGTGTGGGGGGAAATGCGCCTCAACCACGGTGGCCGAATGCCCCACGCCGCGACCACACCATATTAAGGCCGGCAGCAGCGCCGCGGTACCACGTAGCACGGGGGAGGTCATCCAATTCCCTGATCGCCGGAAACCGTGAGAATTAATCCCGATAAGGGTCTCTCGGATAAAAACCGGTCGATCAGGTAACCTTCCCTTCCAGCTCTATGGGGGGGGGGGGGGGGGGATGCGTGCGGGTGTGTGCTTATGTGGGGCGGGTGATGGGGGGCAGTGCGGTGGGGGAAGCCGGGCGGCTCCCTGGCTCGGCAGAGCGGCCCCGTCGTTGTGGCACCACATAGCCCCCCGGGGTGCCAGTCCCCGTCCCGGGTTGACTGGAGCACCTCGCCTGGGTTAATTGGTGTCAGAAGTGGGATCGCTAGCCCCCGAGATCCCTCCCTCGATAATGCTAACGGCCGGGCTAGCATCATCAATCGCCCCCCCGCTGCTAAGCGAACCGCTGCTAAGTTCCTCACCCATGGTGTGGGAGCCGTCGCCCGAGGATTCCCCTCCACCGCGGGTCCGCGTAATGGGCATGGTTAATTACCGATTAGTATTCTTCCCCTCTCTACTACGATACTTCCCTTTCCTAATCGCGCGCCTGCAACCCACGCGGAGCGAACGCACGCACGCCCACACACACGCCGCTCCGCGCACTCCAACTCAACTCACGTTATACTCGCGCACCTGTATCACACACGGAGTGAACACACGCGACACCCACTCTCGCACCGCTCTGCGCAGCGCTCCCCCGAGGCGAGCCGCAGCACCACAGAATCACTGCGTACCCACGCGCAACCCGCGCGCTCAGCTCCGCGCAGCGCTCACTCACGTGGCGAACCACTGTGCACACAGCGCACCCACACGCTCACACTGCACGACAAGATCACGCGAGACCACGCTTCGCTATTAATGATTTATTATATGCTACCTGCGAATTGATGTTGAATCAGTGAGTCGACGAGGCTGGCCTATTCCACTAAACCTGTACCTATTCCCTATTTATCGGCTTACGATACCCTACTTCACCTCCCCACTCACTGTTTGGTGCCCGCGGAGGTTCGCTGCTCTCTGCGCTAACAGCGTACCTCGATGCGTCGCACGGACGTCCGGGTCGCTGGCTGGAACTCCTGCTGGTCCGCTGGCCTGGAGAGAAGAGCGCGATTTCCCCTCTGCGCTCCTCTATTTATCCTCCCTACCTCCAAAGGGGATGCTGCGCTGAACAATGGGCTCGTGCACCCCAAGCCCGCGCACGGCAGTCCCCAGGCGCTGTTGATATGCTAATCAGTGAGCGACGTTGGCGGCGTACATCCTAATTACTCCCTTACCCTTCCTAACAATGGGGCCTGCGCGCTCAAGCGCAATTATCCCAACCCCCCATGACTATGCGCAACAGCCCCTGTGACCCCGCTATTCATGCTGTCTCGTGCCTCCCCTGCTTGCCCCGTCGACTCGTGGGGGTGTGTGTGGGGGGAAATGCGCCTCAACCGCGGTGGCCGAATGCCCCACGCCGCGACCACACCATATTAAGGCCGGCAGCAGCGCCGCGGTACCACGTAGCACGGGGGAGGTCATCCAATTCCCTGATCGCCGGAAACCGTGAGAATTAATCCCGATAAGGGTCTCTCGGATAAAAACCGGTCGATCAGGTAACCTTCCCTTCCAGCTCTATGGGGGGGGGGGGATGCGTGCGGGTGTGTGCTTATGTGGGGCGGGTGATGGAGGGCAGTGCGGTGGGGGAAGCCGGGCGGCTCCCTGGCTCGGCAGAGCGGCCCCGTCGTTGTGGCACCACATCACTACGCGTCTGTACGTGCTCACACACGAAGCTCGGCGATTTTTGGCAACGCCACGGGGCTGCATTCACTTTAAATCGAGGACAATGGAGGGCATGGGGAACGTGTTTTTCCATTTATTCAGAATAAGTGCATAATGACACACTGAGATGCACTTACATATTCATGCTTGAAGCACAATGGGCACATTACCCATCAGTATGTTAATATATATGCGGATTGTGCCTTCCAAAATTAACAATCGAATGCAAATATCCTGAAAGGCAAAGGATTGGATCCTAGGGGGGGAGTTATAAGGCGGCTCAGAAGCAGAGCTCAATGCCATTTCGAGAGGGAACTTGATGAGGTTGGACGCTCGAC